CTAGACGCATGTTCGTGCCTGTGGTCTCGGCCTGGAGCTTCGCCGTCTCTTCTGCCATTTCCAAGTCGGAGATGTATTGGCTCACTTGCCCGCTCAGAGCGGCAGTTGTGCTCATCATGTGAGGGTGGAGGTCAAGACGCACGCAGAGGAAACCCAGGAACTGGTTTGACACCATTGCCATTTTGTGTTCTGTCAGCCATTGGGGATCAGCCTTGGGGAATGTTCGAAAGAGGTAGTTAACAATGCTCATATCGAGGAGAGCATCACCCAAGAACTCAAGCTGCTGGTAGTTGGGGATGTTATCCCATGTCCAAGATGGATGCTTGAATGCGCTGCGGGCCAGAGAAGGCGATTCAAAGGTGTACCCGACCTTCTTTCCGACGGCCTGCGCTGTGTATTCGTGGGCTGTTGGTACTCGCTCGGGGAAATGCCAGCCTGGCACTTTGTAGGCTTGGTAGTATTCCGCGAATGATTGCATTTTATGTTTCTTGCTCTTGACCATGGCAGTAACGGCCTTGACTGCCATATCCATGTTATCACTGCTGAGATACGCCGCACCGATCAATGCCTCGCAGACATCTGCAATTGACTTGTCGGCAAGATCGTGATGGAGCTCGAGTTTCGGGGCCTTTCCCTTTTTCAGCTTCAAGTTTGGATACCAGATTCTCCGGTCAAATGATTTGGAGCGGATGAATTTCTGCAGCTCGCGGTCAACTGCATGGTTGAAGAGATTGTTGTTGCACACTAGCAGCATTCGCTCAACGTGGTATTCATACTCTGTGCTTTCTGGTTTGAGAGTGAAGAGCGCTATTGTTGTCGACATCTTGAGAAATGTATCCCCCAGGAACTCTAATCGCTCATAATTTTTTTGGCCGTAAACATCATCCTCATTTTCCATACCATCCTTGGTGATGGCCTCAAGGGCCAGGCCAGGATGTATGTCCAGCGCCAGCAGAGAACAAGCCTCTAAAGCAATCAAATACTGATCAAGTTGGAACAGAAGGGCGGGGAGCAAATTTGCCATGGAAATGATGTCCATAGGAATCGAAGAAATATTAAGAGGCTCGGGAATCACACAACACCTGGCATCCCTCGCATCATCAACGAAAAACTGATCCAAAAAGTTGCGTCGCAAGGACAATAACTCTGCATCAATTACTGGTTGGTTATCATCCCATACTGCTTGCTTCCTGCCTTTGATGTACAGGCTGTTGCTGTATTCTTTGATGATGTGTGGCACCTCTCGATAAGCACGGGATTTCAGCGGCGGAGCATACGCTGGTGTTGGGTCATTGGGCGTCAGCGTCTTGTTAACATCGTGGAAAATGAACTTCCGAGAGCCGTCTAGAGGATCCCGGGCGAATCTGTTTCGAAAAAACTCTTCTGGCTTGTTCTTCCAGCTAAGATATGGATCTGCCAGCATTTCTTTGAGGCAGGCCCAATCTACCGCAGCTTCTTTAGCTGCAATTACTGAATGATGAGAACCCTCAATGGGAGCGAGGAAATAAGGCATTTCACTGGGGCCTGCCTCATACTCCTTGCTGAACAGGTCAATAAAGACCTTGAGGGTGAAGGTGGTAATGTCATCAACCTGTGTGGGTGATAATTCTAATGGGTGTTCCGCCGGGATGACTATGGCATGTGAAGAATGTCCGTTCCCAAAAAATAGAGGAATGGCAGGGATCGATGGAAGCTTTTTTCTGGACAGCAGAAGAAGAGGCCGAGACTGACGCCCCAACCCTTGGGGGTGTTCTATTGCCAGAATTGTTGGGAATAGTTGTGTTGGAGTCTCGGTTCCAAGTTCTGACCATATCTGAGGCTTCACTAGCATTGGATATTCTGCCTTTTTATTGGGGCTTATAGCTAGCCTGGCGTTTCTCATGGCCGGCAGCTTCTTGGCAAAGGAAGATTGCAAGTGTCCATTGATGAACTTCTTTTGGATCAAGATCATGCAAGCTTCGAAAGCCGCCGAATATCTCGACAATTGTTTGTTTCGTTGGGGATGTCCGGTGACACGACTGACAGGGCAAGATTCCGGAAGGATGATATCGGCAACGAACTTCTTCCCAGTAGGCATGACAATGTATTCGGTGAAGTAGCGACGGATTCCAATCGTCAGGGTGGAGACGAACTTCTCAAGCACTTCGATGCTGTTTTCGAAGTTGAGTCGAGCACCAAGTTCAGTCTCATAGCTCTTCTGCCCAATTTGTTCTGCCCGTACCAGGGAATCAGCGTCCAGGATTGTGCCATCTTGGACTTTTCGATCGCACGGAAGAGCAGAACAAAACTGCCGCAACGTGTTTGAGTCTCTGCTCGCCTGCTTAAGCCTTCTCAAGTCTCTGTTGTTATCATTCTCAATCATGTTTATGTATCGGGAGTTGGTTTGCCTTGCCCGGCCCCTTGACTGGATATACTGGATGACGGAGTTATACAAGTCGAAGCGGATGACCAAATCGCACTCTGGGACGTCGATGCCTTCCTCTGCTACAGGAGTGGCAAAAAGGCAGTTTGTCTCCCCGGACTTGAACTTCTGAAGCGCAACAATCTGATCGCGAAAGGTCATCGTTGGCCAGCTCGACCCGACGGACTGTGTGCCGATCTGGTTGTTCCGTTAGCACAATGAAAGCCACCAAGCTGGATGCTAGCATGACATACCATATACGACGGTATCAAACCCTCGATTTCCATCTCAGTTTGCTGAAACACCTCTGTTAATAGGACGGCAGTTGGTCGCTGCTCTACGAATATAATCGCACGACTTGTTTCCTGTCGGTGGAATGCGTTCTCGAGAATTTCCCATAAAGCTTTGACCTTGGGCGAGATCCGATCGAGGCCCTTGGAGACGGGGACAATTTCGTGAGATTTTAGGATCTCCTTGACGTTTTGGACTGCAGATACAGCTTTGTCAGAATGGTCAACAGCACTTGCGACATCGAAATGGTCTCGTTCAGTCTTGGCCACCAGTTTCACTATTTCGGTGTCGGTAACGAACAGAGACCAATATCGATCGGCACACCATGGGCCAAGGACTGAAGATGCGTCCTTGGTATATTCAAGAGCGGCACGAAACTCGGGATTGTATGATACCTGCTCGGAGATCTTCTCCCACAGACCCGTCTTGGATTCCTCGGCCAGTGGCGGGCTATCATACTTCTCAACACTCTCCACCAACTTTCGCTGTTCAAATCCCTGGAGGAGCGCGGCGTCCGAGACGGTCGCGATCTCGCTACAGAGCATGAGCTCTAGCTCTGCCGCGGCAGCCCGCATATCTCTCGTTTGCGCATCCACCGGAGAAGCGGTCATGCCCAAGATGCGGGGACGTGATTCGCTGGGCTGTCGCATGTAGTAGTTCTTGATGATACGAGCGTAAGGGTGATTTTTCTTCGCGTGATGGGCTTCGTCAAAGATGAGGAGATTGACCTGGGTCATGGAGATGAACCCGTTTCTCAGTGCATCAAGAAGAAGCTGCGCAGTGCACACGATGGCCATATTCTCCTCCAGCTGCAAGTCCCAAAACTCTTTTGAACTCCGTAACCCCGTTACTTCTCCATGGAGCTTCGTGATTGGGAACTCGAGGTTGTGCCTCAGGACGGAGTGTTGTTGATAGCACAGTGCATTCTTGTCAACGATGAAGAAGGCGACCTTCTTTGGACGGCCTTGGGCGATGGATTCTTGTTCCCTTTCGAGGATGTGCCTCATGAGCAGGACGGCAATCAGCGTTTTACCGGAACCTGGATTTTCAGAGTGTCAGAGATGGCAAATTAGCTGAATGATGCTACCCACCTGTATCAAGGACTACGATGATATTCTTCTCCTTGGCACGTTCGAAGAGATCCGTTTGATATTCGCGGGGGCTGGCAATAATCTTTCTAATGCCGCCATCGTCGAAAATTCTGGATAAAGAAAGCTTCTCTGCCTCCTTGGCAAGCTCCTCCATCGGCTTGGAGAGCTCGCGTTGGTTTTCGTTCGCCCATGCTTCGAATATGGCCAGGTCCCGACGTTTCTTTTCCGAGATATCTCGGGGATTCTCGGGATTGACATTCAGTCTGTAGGTATCGTCGTCTTCATCGTCCGAAATCGTTTCATCAAGCGGGGGGTTTTCGTCAATCATTGTGTCACCCTTGAGGCTGGGCTCCTCTGATAGCGAAGCCGTCTCTGTGAAGGGTACGACGCGTGTTGGATGGGCAACAAGTCTTGGGATGGAAATACTTTGCGCTGGGAAATAAGGATAGTAGAAAAACTAGAAAAGCTCTTTGAGGAATAAGAATGAAATGAAATGAGGAAAAAAGACCGGCGGTGGGAAGCAGCGAAAAGGAAGAGTGACGGGAAGGTGCAGCTCAACAAAGGATGCACGTGCCTGCCGCAGCCGCTGAACACACTTGTTTGCTTCGCGTAGATTGTCATGAAACGCGGGAAAATCCAAGCTGAGAACCCTCTAAAGCAACGGATAATGTTTCTGGCGAATAATAACAAGCCACGAATAAAGCAGAATCCCGCCTATTGTCTCTATGCCGTCGTCTTTGTTCGTTTGTGGGCCACAACACCGCAGCATCACTTGGATGCAGTGTCACAAAGAAATGAGGCAGCATAACTGAATTTCGTGTAATCATTATTCATGAGAGGCATTCTAGTCTAGGGACTGTCATGCTTTTCCGTTACCTTCCTTTTTTTACCGAGCCTTGGCCATTCTTCGCCTCCAAACCAATCCATAAATCGCAAACCGACTTGGCCGATCAGACGGAAGCCCAAATCCAGCGTTGAATGCCATGCATACTCCTGACCGAAACGTAGACTAAAGGAAAACAAATACCAGACCCGAATCGTACCGGGCTGTCGCCCAATAACTCCGTGATAGCATAACGTAGCAGGTCCTGTGTTGAGCGAAGGTGTTCAACTTTGGACTGCAGCTAGTCCATCCGTGATCAAATAGATCCAAATCCCAATCGCCAGATAGAACCCCGTTCCGTAATCGTAATGCAAAGACTGTCTGTAAAGAAAACTCATCCTTCCATAACAACATCCTCATTCTGCTCATCGACCCCTTCCATCTCCGTCACTCCGCCCTCGCCTTCATCCCCTCCCTCTCCATGATCAGACGAAAGAAACTCCCGCGCAAACTCCGCTTCTTCAGCATCCAGAGCATAAACCGCAAAATCAGCACACCCAGCATACCGGGCCCGCTCAGCGTCCTGTCCAACGTCGCCCTGCACGGCACGCTCGGCCGCCGCAAACTGCTGCTGCTCCTTGACTATCATCTTCAAATCCTCCTGGCTCAAAGCTCCACTAACGCCACCACCAGAGGCTCTGTCCGCCCGCAGAGCGAACCGGGCCTTGACCGCGGTGGCGGCGAACTCAGCATGACAGGCCGACCAGGCGTACCACGTCGTCCCCAGCCTGCCTCGCTGCGTGGTCAGAACCCTGTTCCTGTACTGGCCGAAGATTGGTTCGACCTTCCGAGCTGATGAGAATCTAGCTCTATTACCGGACCTCCCTTGCGGTGGCATGCTGCCCGAGGCCGTAGTAGAAGGTGGAGGAGGGATAACGCCAACGCCCGATGTAAAAGACTGTATAAATATGTTATAGTTAGACCCAATGACCCAATAAATTCGATAAAGATCCGGTAGTATAGTGTAAATATGTTGTCCTAGGAAGATTCTGAAGCAACACTAACCGAAGAACTTGCCTGGTTGCTGCTCTCGGCAGCCTGGGAATCCTCCGATGGTGCTGAACTGGCAGACCTAGCAGCTTCAGCTAAAGAAAGTAGTGCTTGGTTCACCTTCCGTTTAGTTCCTTCTGAACGGAGACGGGTTGTTCCTGATTGGTTATCCTGATCTGAAAAAGTGTGCGACATGCGTGGTCTCTTACGTTTCAGGGCCTTCTCGGTCTCTGGGATATAGTCATCATCGCCGTCCGAATCGGGTGCAGCTGCAGCATCGACCAGATAGTTGTCTCTCACCCGGCGGCTGGGCTTGCGCTCTCTCCGACGCGGGATCGGGGCCTCTGGGGATTCAAGGTAACTTTGGTACCGTGTGTCGAGAGCCTCTCGCAGTTGGCTCGCCGCCGTGGACTGGTCCTGTTCGCCGGAGCAGGGTTCTGCAACTTTTCTAAACGCGGCAGTTCTGTCCAAACTTTTCTGCAACGAGGGCTCTTTAACATGCTGGGCTGCATCGTCGCTGGATGCCTTTTCCTTCATCGATAGTGGGATATAAGGTCGTTCCGGCCTCTCTCCACCGCGAAGTGACTTCATGTTCTCTGTAATCGGTCGTGATGGTAGCGAATGCTTAACCCCTTGGTGTTCTCTCAAGTTCTCTGTAGTCAACCCAGGTCGTAGCGGGTTGTCCTGAACAACGCCCTGTTTAAGAGACTGGTAGCCGACGAGGAACGGCGGGGGAAGTAATTCATCTGCATTACCCGGATCTTCAGGCTGCTTCTCGAGCACAGAAGGAGCCAGCACCTCACCCTTCGTAGGTTCAACGGCATGTTCAGGCGATTCGGGACCTCGGTTCAGATAATTCGCAGACGCAGGACGTGAGACGGTAATGACGTCCTTGCTCGGGGGCTGGCACTCAAACTGACAATTAGTCATTTTGAACGTGCGAGTTGGCGACCGCTGCTGCTCAATGAGGGTGGAAACAAAGGAGCCCGGCAAGAATGGCTGAGCGTGGCAAAAGAACTGTCTCCTAAGAGCTTCACGTACCTCGGTCGCCTCCTTGCAACTCTGCGGCCGGGCCCTCGCCCGCTGTGCCCCCGCGTTGGATGATGGGCTGGAAGCACGACCAGCATCCGCGTGGACAACAGAATCGGCTCTCTTCTTCCGCTTGTTGTCGTTGCCGCTCTTGGTTGGCTGCCGGCCACGACCACCGGCCTTCTTGTCGGCGGCGGCAGTCTGTCGACGCCCTTTTTTGGTCTGGGAAGCGGGAACAGCCCCTTGGCTGGCGTGTGCATCGTGGCCTCTGATGGACGCGAAGACGTCGGAGGGCACTCGGCTTTGGAGATTTCCATTGTCGCAAACGTCACGATACCGGCGTTCCACGGCATCTAGATCGATCAGGCCCCTTGCGTGTGCCCTTCGAAGGAGTTGAGCATCAAGGCAATCTTGCAAAATCTCGATCTCGATGGGCAGCTCTAAAAAGTCCTGGCGGATGTTCAGCCCAACCCAGTTATAGAGCATGTCTGAGAAACGGTCCAAACGGTGCGAGCGGAGGAAGATGTCGGCCGTTTCCATCTCATCGTTGGAGATGCGGTCAAAGCTCAAGTCTGGTCTGCCCGAGGGAAGTAGATCGAGGATAGACCTGTTCGCATTGGAGGCAAGTTGTTTGAGTTTGTCCCAGTCGATGTTGCCTAACGACTTCTTCCATTCTTTGTACGCTTCATATTGGGTTATGTATGTGGTTAGGAACGTCTGTATCTGGGCGCGTGAGAGCCGTAGGACGGTGCTGATGATCGATGCAAAGCCTCTTGGACTCCCACCCTCGGACAGGCCATCTTGACAAAGAATCTCGAGTACAATCCATTGAGCTCCTGTGCTCAAGTTCTCCCATGGGATGGTTTGATCGTGGATTGTTTTTCCAATGTGTTGGGGTTGGGGCTGTTGCTCAGTTCTCCCGGTCCATAGCAGGGTCGAGCAATATGCAGCTTCGGCATTTTCTTCGCATGGGAAATCGAACTCGAGGGGTTCGATGTAAGGAAAATGGTACTCTGGGGAATTTTCTGGGGGAAACATGATCGAAAGGCACACCAGATGGCGAGGGTAAAAACGAGTGCACAGGGCCAATGGTTTCGCCGGGAAATCGAAACGACGAGAAAAAGAAAAGAAAAAGTGACGAGGATCGGAGAAGTGCTAGCAAACATGTGCTCAAGGCATCAGCCCTGGACCTGGCTTGAGGCTTTGCACAAGTAGAATGAATGGAATTGAACGTGTTCGTGCAGAAATAAAAGCAGGGTGCCGTGGGCAAAAGAATGTGTTGATTAAATATGCCCACGCGGTGGTTTGTGGCTCGCGGTTGCGTGCATGTGGCTATTGTTGAAGGCCGGGTGAGAGGGTGAGAAGGTGAGAGGGGGGTGAGAACTGGGTGAGAGAGCAAGCTCTGGCGCTGCCTTTTCTCGTCCATCATGCCACACCAAACGCCTTAGCATGCGAGCCTGCGTCGTAAAAAGAGATTTTGTCTGATTTATAAAGGATCTAACTATGAGTCCTCCCCGTCTATACCGTAGCCCTGGTCCATTGTTCCGTTGCGCCTGCAAGAAGGAGAAGAAGAAAAAGCTACATAAATAACAAAGTAAAGCATCAGAGAATACAAACCGCATCCATAACCGCATGACAAACTCATGGCGATTGCTTGTTCACCTCCCTCCCACTATACACTTAATCCAGATAGTGAGTATGTGCTGGTACCCAAGAGGTGAGCTCGCCATGGCCGCCTTGAAAACCGCCAGAAGCCAAGTGCGCCTGACACCTATAGATGAACCATTCGCAATTCCCAGAAATAAGATTCCCCGCAAAATGAACTACTCTAGCCTTTCCACGATCCCAGCAGTAAAACGTGGAAGCTGTGCTGATTTAAGCACAAGAAAGCTAGGACATCTCGCGGTCAACAAACGGCTCAAAGGCTCGCCGGCCCCCTATCTGAAGGTCGTTTACGCGATCACTTAGATGACAGCCGCTGTCGAAATCCGTTTCGTCAGACTCTTCGATTCGGCGCTTCGAGTGGATGTTGGCTGCGATTTGATCAGATTGATCTCTGGCAATCTTCCCTCGCGCCCTGATGATGTCTTCCCAAGCCAGGAGCAAACGCTTCGCATCCTCATCGAAGATGCAGCAGAAACGCTGCATGTTAATGAACTGGAGAGCGTCTCGTAGGCCTTTGCCAAAGACCGCCATAATGTATGCTGCAACAACAATGGCGGATCTGTCATTGCCGGTCTCGCATGCAACTAGAACTCTGCCTGACTTGGGAGAAATCTGACGCATTCTCAGGAGGTGGTCATTCATGTGACGAATTAGGTCAGGTAGCTCCTGGATCAGATGTTGTTGGGAGCCTACGCCGACGTACTGCGAGGCGACGTTCAACTCCTCCCTAGCTCTGTCAAGGCTCGAGATGCGCGACGTCATGCGCGAATCTCGGATGACCATGACCATAGTGATGCCTTCTGTTCTGAGAAAGTCGATGTCTTTGATTGCATTGATCGGGCCGAGGTAAATGAAGTCGAGAATGCGTTGCGCCTTCCGCCGCTGTTCGTATCTCCACCCATCAGCTGAGCCAAGAGCAATGTATGGCTGCGTTCCGACGATGGCTTTGACATCTTGGATAGAGAGCTGGCTGCAATCGACATCATCGAAGGAGGGGAACATGGGGATGCCGCGAGGGGCTCCAGGAGCCTGTGGTTGCGTGAAGACAGGGACTGGGATCATCGGCGGACTCGGTGGTCGTCGCGTGTATGGCGCAGCGGCGGCGGCCTCGTGGGTCATCATCTTGGTGGTGGTGTGTTGGCCGAGGGGATTGAGAGGGTTCGGGGGGTGTGCGAAGGCAGTTTCTGGCATCGTCAGATGCTGCAGTCGTCTGTTGGAAGAGCCCAGGACTGGCCTTGCAGTGGGTTGTCGTCAAGGCACGGTGCGGAAGACGATAATGAAAGGTGATAAAATTCTCAGCTGTTGAGGCAGGGAGGAGCTAATGTATTCTGGCGGGAAACCACATTGACAAAGAAGCCCCTCTGATGCTCTGATAACTCTGTGTGTGTGGTGTAAACAGTGAATGGACAGAGGAGCATTGTCATGGCGGAGGGCTGACACGGGAACTTGTTCTGATTTAGCCGCACGCTACAGTAGCAGCGCCTGAGCTTAGGTGGGCAGCACTGCACAGGCACGGGGCAGGCAGCACTTACGGCGCGGGCAGGTACATCCGGCACCCAGGCAACTGTGGGCTGACTCGCAAGGGTGTTTCAATTCGTCCATCCCTTCACGCGAGCCGTGATCACCTGCATCTACCGACCGAGCTGCCAAATCTAGGTACCAATAGAGATCTACCGCAAGATGTGCCAATACCAGACCATCTGCGTGGCTGCCTGGCATGTTGGCACTTCCATCACATGCGGTAGGTGAGATGAGGTGCAGCAGATTCCATGTACAACACAGATGGAACCTGCCAGGAGCCCGTGCAGCCTAAAATTAGCTCTCCCGGTGGACCAATATCCCCAAAAATGGCAAACCCTAGGGGTACCTCTGGGGCAATTACCCCACCACCTTTGCAGCTACTGCATGCACTCTTTTGCTTTCTGTTTGCCTTACTTGCCAAGCGAGTGACATTACACCTGGCGCACCAAAGCTCTGTTCACACAAGTCAAGGACCTCATTTTCGTATCAATAATACTAAAGATAATAATAAGAAAATTATTATTCTACAGACTCTAGCTTAGTATCATAAACAGTGCTAAATACTTATTTAATATCATTGTAATATTATGTTGAACTTCAACGCTAGAGATTCTAGGTGTGCCATGTTTTATGTCACCCGCTTGCTGGCTTGAAGAAGTTGGTGGTGCCAATGCAATCGAGTGGCATCTCCAAATCAGCTTTGATCTATTGTTTTGTTCTATTGTACATGTGCCGCAGGCAAGCGGCGCGTGCGAGATAAAAGTATGGTACAGTCATTCCACTATAATACAAGCCCTATATATGTCATATTCAACGCCCGCCTGCACGCCAATTATTCATCAATGCTCCCCTGATGAGCACCAAGCGAATGCCCCGGGCGGCCCAACCTTTTTAGAGGAGGGGGAGCAGGAGAGGAGAGCTACCGCGCGGTTTATTAACTCGAGACTCCATGATACGAATCTTCGGCTCCGCGATTAACATTCGCCGCTCCACGAGATGCCTCCACCAACTCCTCCAATTTTGATGCCACCTCATCTTCGGGGAGGAATCCATTTTCCATCATCCCATCCTCGATCTCTTGTCGCATCATGTCTTGACTCATCTGATCCGTGTGGGCTCTCCTGCGCTCAAACTGTCGTCTCTTGTACAGTGCCTGTTCGGTGAAATCCAACTTGTCCAAAATATCAACCAGTCGTTCCTCCACCAGTGATCGCACATGGAAGGCAAGGGCCTGGTCGCGGAACACGTTAGTGAATCGATAAGAAAGCCACACATAACTGTTGATAGAAATATGGAGCTCCTCGAGTTTTTCGAGATAGTCCGCCCCGTGTTTATGAGGCTCCGACATGTCCATATCCAAATACTCGAGCGGGATCTCCTTGATGGAGAGGAGATCTCCAGGAGCGTTGGTTGCCAAAATCTTGGCCATCGCGCGGATAACCATGGGGCCTCGTTCGGACGAGAGTCTAGTCGGGACGAAACATAATGTGAGCTTGTCACAGATGGTAAGGGGAAATTCCTGTATAAGGTCGGCAAGTTGGATCCTGTCGTTCGGAAGACTCAGTTTAAACTGCTCTCCTATCGCGGCCGCGGTCCGTATTCGCATTAAAATAAAGGAGAGCGGTGTCTCGGGTGGGTAGTATGAGGCAAATCGTTCAATGATGCCTGCAGGAGCCTCGACATAGGCGTGTTCAATGTCCGGGACGTGCTTCAGGAATGCATCCTGGACCCTAACTAGATCGTCGTAGTCCATCGTTGTAACGAGCCCTCCCTGTGAACTCTCATTCTCGGCGCCAGGTCGGCTGGCTGATCGAAAACGTCCAGCCCGACCGCCGATTTGCTTGATTTCCGGGTCTGAAAGAATGCGGTTCTGGGCTCCGTCAAACTTGAAGACCGACTCCATAATCACACGGCGAATCTCAAGGTTAAGGCCCATACCGATAGCATCGCTAGCAACAATGTAGTCGTAATCGTTGTCTGGATCATTGAAAAGAGCTGCCTGCTGGACACGAACTTCAGGGGGAAGTGAACCGTAGACAATAGCACACCGTCGTCCCGTGTGTCTCTCAATGCTGCGTTTCATGGTGTGCAGGGAAAGACGACTGAAGGCGACGACGCAGTCTCCTTTCTCCAGCTGAGAAAGATCACCGCCCAAGGCATCATCCATTGTAGCGAGGGGACTCAATCTTTCATACCGGTGCACGATACATTTGTCGCCGATGCTTGCACATAGAGACTCTATGAGCTTCACGGCTCGTTCTTCGCCGCACACGTGCATTTCCTTTGCTTGGATACCAAGAAAAGCCATCGTCCATGCATTACCGCGATCCGCGTCACCGATCATCTGAATCTCATCAATGACGGCGACATCAACCCTCCCATTGAGAGGCACCATCTCCACGGTACAACTCGAAAAGTATTGGTCTGTGGTATCGGGTAACCTGACCTCTTCACCGGTGATCAGGGCACAAGGCAGGCCCTTGGCTGTAAGTCGCTGATACACCTCGGTGGCCAACAATCGCAACGGCCCGGCGTAGACACCACTCTTTGCGTTTTCTAGAGCCTTGAGCGCATTGTATGTCTTTCCTGAGTTGGTCGGGCCGACGTGGACATGGATAGTCCGCTGCATCTCTCGTGTTCCCGGTAGCCACTCCTGAGGAAATCTGAAGTCAAGCAGGTTCTGCTGAAACTTGTCCATGCCGCGGGAGAAGCGATTCCGAACCATGAAGGACTGGAACGCATACTGGACCTCGCCAATGAGGGCCTTGTTGTGACCCTGGATAAAGGCATCTCGCAGGTTCCAAAACAGGGGATTCTTATCCTTGCGAGTGATGTTTTGCTGTGCGAGAAGAAAGGCATTATCAATGGAGTTCATGAACAAGATGGCTTCTTGCTGCAGTCGCTCCTTGCCGGCATCGCCGCCCGACTGCTCAGTGCGAGAAAGGTCATTTAGCACATCTTGAAGACGGTCCAAGACGGTCTTTCTGAGGAGTGCATGGTGCTTTGCAAGCTTGCCTTCAATAGGCACCCGTAGTCTTGTTCTTGGGTCATGGACCTGGTTCTCCTGTAAGGTTGAATGTCAGTTATCTCTAGGTGCGAAACCGACAGGGTGCATGCCATCATTACCGAATGATGCTTTTCACGATTATCAAGCCTTGCATCGATCCTGGGCCTGTGACCACTGACAACCTCCTGAATCCACGGTGCAGGCTTCTTTTGGGCCCTTCCTCGAGCAGGTCTTGACGTCTGCTCCTTGCTTCGATAATTTGGTGAACTGGCACGCAGGCAAGTCAATGGCGTTGATGAAATGTATCGGCGACATGCTGGAGCCTCCAGGGCCCTCGGAGTCCATAGACTTCTCATTACAGAAAATTAAAAGGATGCGGCACCATATTCTAGCGAAGAAGAAATGTGAAACAAATCAAGACCATATAGCAACGGGTGAATACTTTCATCAACCAAAGAATTCAAAGCATCACCGTATTGAATGGAGCTAAACATGGTCAACTTTTTTTTCTGGGTCCATAGACCCTGTTGGCTGCCGCGCACCAATGAGATGCATTGACACGATAGAGGCAAAGAGGCAAGGCGGCACTAGAAATCGTCGGTCGAACCTTTCGCCGATCAGGGACTTGCTGAAACTGACTGATGCATCACCATATGAAGAAGTTGATGACGTAAGATGGCTGATTGGTGTATCGCTGAGTTCAGGCGTCGCATCTCGATGCATCATACCATCCAGGCACCCAATTACTCTTTGGCAACCGTCTCCTACAAATGTTTCGGACCTGCTTCCATTCTTTATCCCTTTGTTTTTTGATGCTTGATTGATTGGAGCCTGCCTCACCTTTGCTACTGAACGAGTGAAGCCCGATTGCGCCCAACTCAAGAACATCCAACAACACCCTTTTAACGAACACCGTCCATCCCACATCGCAGCCATGGCTTCGTCATCATCCCCTTCTACCCCCCTCCTATAGTATGACTTTCTCCTATTGCTGTCGCATTCTATGTGAACTGTTATACTAATTTCCCGGTGTCTGTAGCGCCTGCATCGCCCACCACACCACCATCCTCTCCGAATGCACGACCTCGGCGTCATCAAAGACCTCCTCCCTCGCATCTCTCATCCTGCCCAAGATCGAACACACGACGGCGCAGAAGCTCACCTACACCCACGGCCAGCACCAGATCCACTACGTCGCCGAGTCCTTTGCCGACCATGCTGACCAGAACGGCGCCGGCGGCCTGACATTCCTCGTCATCGCCGACTCGTCCCTCGGCCGTCGCGTCCCCTTTGGCTTCCTGTTCGAGGTCCGCAAGCGCTTCTTCGCCCAGTTCCCCGTCGGCTCATACTTTGCCGACATGCCAAACTACGGCGCGGCCTCCTTCAACGGCGAGCTCAAGAACCTGATGGTCGACTACGGCACCACGGCCAGCGGGCAGGAAGATGCCATCGGGAACGCGAAGCGCGAGATTGACGACGTCAGGGGCATCATGACCAAGAACATCGAGAGTCTGCTGGAGAGGGGCGAGCGCCTGGATCTTCTGGTAGACAAGACGGACAGGCTTGGTGGGAGCGCAAGGGACTTCCGCGTACGGAGCCGGGGCCTCAAGCGTCAGATGTGGTGGAAGAACGTCAAGCTCATGGCTCTCCTTGCCCTCGTTGTTATTCTCATCATTTTGGGTCTCGTTGTTGCTCTCAAGAATTAAGCCGGCATTGGGACGAAGTTGGAAACTCAGTTGACGCAATTTGCTTTATAACGCAGGGAAATTCGGTTTAGCTCGGGCGAAGAAGTATCAATGGAAGGATAGTAGGAGCAATCAGTATTGGGATTGGTATATGCAACTCTTGGGTGGGCTCTTTTGGGTTCCTGGTGGAATTCGTCGACGCATGTATTTCTAAGGCGCAGCACTCTCCTTTGTTCATTGAGGCTAGGCCCTCATCCTTCTGTATACCGCAGAAAACAATTTCATTCCGTTAAACGCTGAAATTCTGGCGGTGCATTCTCTAGCCAGATGCTCATGCTCGCTGCGAAGCAAGGGAGCTGCGTGAGCTGCAACATTAATACTCCATGCCCAACCTGGCAAAAAGGTTGGTTTGAAAGAATAGAAAATAATAAAATCACCCCATTGAAGGGTCTCCTCGCTCTCATTACGCTGTTCTCTGTCCCTCTCCACCTAGATGGTATCAATATGCGTAAATCATGCCAACCATTGCAAGAAATCCATCACCCCTGTTCCTGATCCAGTATGGAAACAATCCGACACCGCTACACTCGCTTCTTTTTTCGACCCAAAATCACATCGGCTAGACCTGCCCGTCGGAATGTGGCCCCCTCATTCATCGGGCCTTGGGTTCCGACCTAGTTCCGAACACTCATAATTTGAAATTTGGACCTGTTTTCATGGTATCTTGGTAGGAATACCCGAAGGTGACGGGGCTGTGTGTAGCAGTGCCTGAGATGCCGGCAAAGGGAGACCTGCGCAAGCGGTCTGTGAAGAATGCAGGATGCATCGTGGTCGCATTGTGAGGTTGAGGTGTTAGCGTATTGATTGGCCTCATGGCCGGTGTGTGATCCGAGTAGCAGCTGAGGCCCATGGCGACGAGATGAAAGCACCTGGATGCGTTAAAGAGCTAGGGAGACGGTGTGAGAGAAGCATAAGACAGGAATATCGTGTCCTAGCTCTCGTATTTCTTTTGTGTCGGTCATCGGCCTAATCGCCGTCGAGACGGAATCAATGCCTATCTTGCGTCATGAGAGATGACTAATCCCCAGGGCCGAGTCACTATTTCCTGGGGTAAGGAGAATTAACGAAATGGTGGAGTTCCGTGCCTCGGCTGGTTGACCGTCAAAGAAGAAACGGTCTTGGTACACCCGCCAACCAATTGCTAACCTTATGTATGAGGGGAACATGTGAAAGGAGCGCAGGCTGTCATCGTAATTCAATGGCCTTCTATTTCTTTTGTCTATCCGTTCCCGTGTCTGAAATCGTTATAATTATTTCTTGCTCTTCTTCTTGCTGGCTTTTCCTGAACCGTCGCCCTTCCCAGTCTCGTTACTAGTGTTGTTCTTGTTCGCCTTCTGCTTCTCAGCCTCCTTAGCCTTGCCCTTCTTGATAGCGCTCATCAAGCTCTCAATCTCCTCTACCCTCTCCTGGTCCTCTTTTGCCTCGGCAGACTTGGTCTCTTTGACCTTTTCCGAAGCTCTCTTCTTCGCCGCGGCCTTTTCCACCTTCTCAATCAACGCATCGCTCTCCTCCCAGAGCTTCTTTACAACCTCTTCATCCCTCACTTCTGAACGAGCAAAATCTACCTCCTGACACTCCTTGATCAACCTTGCACCCTCACCTCTGCCGAGGCCCTCTTCCATAGAAGCGTAGAGAAAAGATTGGGCGCCTTGGTTTGCTGATTTGAGCAAGAACCAAGGAACAAAGTAGGCTCCTAAATAGAGTGCGAGGCCAAAAAGAGAGCCTCTGGTGATCCATCTCAGAGTGCCAGGGGTGCGGCAGAAGCCCGGATCGGCGAATATAACTCTTGCGTTCATGGGAAGGCCGTCAGGTCGTTTGTAGGAGTCCAGGTGCTTCTGGAAAGCACGGCCGAAACACAGTAGGGCCAGCTTGCTGCGAGCGTAGGCCATGCCAGGGGTCCAGTTGCTCGCGTCAAAGGTTTCCTTGAGAGAAATCGATCCAATGTAGGAAGAGCACGAGGCGATGACAATGCGCACATCTCGATCGATAGGCTGTGCCCGGATTGCCGGGCTGAGTATACCCAGCAGGTGGAAATTGGCCAGAAAATTGACCATCCACGTCTCCTCGATCCCCTCTGCCGTCTCCTTCCTCTTCCCATTGGGGGCCGTCATGGTCGCCGCACAGAGGACAATCATGTCCAGCCGCCTGGGGGGCGCATTGTCGATCCATTTCGTGGCGAATTTTCGAACGCTATGTAGGCTCGAGAGGTCGACCTGCTCGGCGTAGATGAGGTGGTTGCGGTATCGATCTCGTAGGTCCTGGATGTACTCGACGAGGAAGGGGTCGGAGACGGGGGTCTGCGTGAGGAGAACCAGCTGCGCACCACGGGAGGCGAGATGATGTGCGACGCGCGAGCCTATCCCGGAGGTTCCGCCAGTTATTAGCACGACTTTGCCGTGGAGGTTGCGGTCGGAGAGGTTGGTGCGGCCGGATGTGTAGAGCTTCAGCAGCACGAGGGTGGCTACGGCGATGGCCGAGTAGAGGATCGTGAAGGCATGCTTGCGAAGCCAGTCGGGAGGGCCGTTGACGACGATTTCGTAGGCGAATGGGAGGGGCATCGTGATGGGGAAGACGCTCGAGGGGAACTCGGCGGGTAAAAAATTAGGAGACAAAGTTGCTCATTGATTTCTCATTGAAGTTCGGAGCAGGGGATGTGTCTGTTCCTGTAGGTCCCAGAGTTGGCAGATATCGAAAGCTTGTCGGGGGCAAGTTGTCAAGAAAGCTTGTGGGTGGATTATTTGGTGATACGTGGATGGAGCTTGGGCCACACACTTTACGCGTCGCTGGTCCAGGACTCAACTCTTGCCTCCCAACTTAGAATCATATGCAGCTTTCGCTTTTAAATGGGGTTGTAGTTTCACTATTCAGTTGCTTTTAATTCATTTCCACTCAGATGATCTAGTTTCATTTTAACCCCTTGTACCGATAATGCCCGCCAATCTTATGCCTTATTTGTGAAGATATCGTCCCAGCCCATCCCAAGTAAAGAAGCAAATTAGCAATTGTTGTTGTGCAATCCATCGAAAATATCTTGCAAGAGAGCTTGGTTTCTTGCGAATTTCAGAAAAATTTCCCTGGAGAACCCCATTCATTCAACCGCATCTGACCAATAGATCCGTAATCTCCAGTACTTCCCAACGCTGAAACCCAGTGTTGCATCTCGATCCTCCGTTATTCTCGAACAAAGTCGGCGATTTAGCTAAGACACATCCCTACTAGATAGCATAAATAAAGCCTCAGGAGCCAGATTGGATGTATGCCGGTCCCATATTCCAAGAGCGCATCGTTTAGTGGCGATGACACGTCCTCGACTTAACCGCTTTCTTGCTCCGAGTTCACGGTATTTCACTTCTTCTTCTGCTTTGCCACCTTCGATTTCACTCTGTGGATGGGTGCGAAGAGTTTCTGCAGCCTTCCGTCATCCAGGACTGCAGGCTTGTGGTTATCATCCTGCAGAGCATAGTCCACTGCGATTGCCTTGTCGTTCTGGAGCTTGTGAATATGGTGATCCATAGGCGTGTCTGCCCATATACGAACCAAATGCGTCTCCTTGGTCTGTCCGTGTCTCCATACGCGACCAAAGGCCTGATTCTCTTGGACGTTGTTCCACCAGGGGTCAATAAGTATAACTCGGTTTGCTTCTGTCAGGTTCAACGCCTGGCCGCCGCACTTCAGCCCGATAATCTAGAGATGGAGTTGTTAGCTGAGCTCGCAGACAAAGGAGGATCTCGTATCCTCTCTCACCATTATTTTTTTATTTGGTTCTGTCTTGAAAGCTTCAATGGCCTTCTTTCGCCCGCGATCATCGATGCTGCCATAAAGATAGAGGAACTCCATCCCGAGCTGGCCCAACATGTAGCCCAAGATCTTTCCAGACATGACAAACTGGGTGAAAACTAAACGGTTTCAAAACCAGTTAGTCAAATATCGTCAATGATTTAACCTTCCCATCTATTACATACCTAAAATCTTGTCATCTGGATGATTCTCCTGCCATGTCAAGATCACGGATAAGGCTGCAGTCAGCTTTGTGCTGGGAGGGATCTCATAACTTTTGGGTTGAAAGCAAGCGGCAGTAAAAAAACCATTTGCTTCCTTCTTTCTAGCGACCCGGGCGTTGAGGCTGTCCTTGCCTGGCTCTTCGAACTTGTCCGCTTTGGCCTGGGTTATGATGCCGTCAAAAAGCTCGACAGTATCTCCTGCCGTGAGGGGCTTTGTGCAAGTCGCGTGCAGACATTTAACCTGAAGGTTTTGGTCAGCAATCCTTATGCCTATTTATTTCTTGGCTGATTGGTTAAACTTACCCCTCCACGCTCACGTTCTGCGTTAACCTTTTTCAAGAGACATCCCATGCAATAAACGTGCCCACACTTCGAAGGTTAGCAATTAGGAGGAGAATGCCTTGGATGGAAATGAACTCACGTGGTGGCTCTTCATGGGCTCCTTGGGCATGTCGTCTTTGTTACAAATCAAGCATCGGCAGCTCTTTCTTCGTACCTTAACCTCATTCCGAGATAACCTAAGAAAGTTCTTGAGGGTAAATGAGCCCCCGAAGACGTTGGCCTTCTGTCCTTCCAGTTTCTTCAAGCCTAGAGAATATCCCTCGACTCCTTCTTGGTGTTTCAGGTTATCGATCAGTTTTGCCTTCCCGGATATTGAATTGAGAATCTCCATGAGAGACTCCAACTCGACGTCTTTGATGGATTCCCTAAAAAAACGCTCTATGTCGAATAGATGTGACACAGTTTGTCGAAGCCTGGTGGATTGCGCAAGGTAGATTTCGGACAGCTGGTCCTTCTCCCTGTCTGTGAGATAGCCCTTCTCTTTTTCTTTGGCCTTCATTTGGCGGATGGCCTTGTCGTAATGCTCAAAGACAGCTCTAAAAATAAGCAATTAGTAAGACGTCGCCTATAGTTGCTTGAATCCCTAACACAGCCGAGCTCTTGTCTTGCCCACGCTTGGCTTGCGATGGCGTTGCAGAGACACACATGTCCATATAGAACCACTTACTCGTAGATAAGCTGCTCCTCTTGGGTTATGGTGACCCAAATATCCTCACTGTGCATGCCCGGGAGATCAAGAATCTTGTGTCCTAAAAAGGAGTCCTTTTTGGTTCTGAGGAAGTAACATATCAGCTCAAATGCTCTGAAATCTGAAGGAGGGATTAACAAACCTCCTGTACATAACCAATCCAGCGAGGGCGTCGAAATTTTCCCTGCCTCGGAACTGCTTGCGCGTCAGAGAGTGTTCTCAAATAAGACGGGTTTTCATGAAGGTATGGATACTTACTCCGTCAACGAACTTGTTGTGGAAATTCAAGGATGAATCAGTGAATGGGCAACCAAGAAACTTAAGATATGGGAAGAATTCTGAAATTGAATGTTAGAACGAGTGACATCAAAAAGAAGAGATCATGGTCGACATGCCTTGGGGGGTATTGGACAACGGTGTCCCACTCAAGCACCAGCGGAATCTCGAACTGAGGTCGCAACAAGCGATGGAAGCTAAGAGTATTAGAGATGATACCAGAATGCCAGGAGGACTAACTCACTGTGAGCTTTGACGTTCTTGATCTGGTGGGCCTCATCAAGTATAATGCGGTACCAATCAATCTTGAAAAGGTCTCCAGCAGCTTTGCTGAACTCGCGATTGAACGACACTTTGTCGTCTTCATATTTCTCTTTCCACTCTTGAACCTTGGCTATGCCAGGATGCTGATTCATAATGTCGCGATAAGTTGCAAGTCTGATTGAGTCAGCAAGGTTATCTAGCGTTTGGCAGATCTGAGATTCAAAGCTGAGGGAGAAAACTTACACAAAGAACCTCTCTTTGTAGAAATCAAGGCCACTGTCATCTGCGAATCGATAAATGGAAGCCAGACCCCGGATGTGTTCCTTGCAGTGCTTCCTAATTTCTTCCCACCACTGGCGAGCAATCATTTTGTTTGGCACAATTACCAAAGTAGCTTTGCAGAATTCCTCGATATCCTCAGCTTCTGGAGGGTTGCCAACAGCACAAGCAAGGCTGACCAGAGTCTTGCCCATTCCCATTTCGTCTCCAATCAATCCACCAAGGGGAGAGGAACCGGAGCATTCACGCTCCATCATCCAAGATGTGATCGTGACTTGGTAGTTAAAGAGACTAGTCTCCATATCCTTATGAGTCCATTCTCCATCGGTTGCGACCATCCTTTTATATCCGAAGCTCGAGGCAGCCCTTTTCAGATCCTTTTCCTGGGAAGCCATACGACGAGTATCCCCGTGCTTAGGAAGCTTCGCTTTGATTTGAGCGAATTGATCTTTATATGTAGTGGCTTTTATCGATCCGAAGCTCGGCAAGGATCCTTGACTGGCAGCATTGGGCAAGTCCTCGGTCTCGAGAAACTTCTTAGCGAGCCTCATGCAAGGTTCGTTGTTCCGCCATCCTGTCTGGTCCGCCGGTTTCTTTCTTTTAGGCGGTGCCGACTTTTGCGTCTCAGCCTTCCGCTTCACGCCGGCTTTTTTGGCTTCTGCAGCCACCTTCTTGCGTCTGAAGTACTCCCTGGCTGTTGGCGCAAACTTGGCCGTCGTTGGGTCCTTTTTTTTCTTTGACTTGGCTTTTTGGACCTTGGCCTCAGAAGCTGGGGTCTTCGTTGTATTGGCGCTTTCGTTGTCTGATTCCTCTTCAGAGTCTGTATCTTCGTATTCACTCCCGTCATCGCCTTCGTCTGGCTTTTGTTCGGAATTCTCTTGATGATCAGGATCTTGATTATCACCCTCGACTTCTTCATCGGCTGGTTGTGCCTCCTCCTGATCTTGGTCTTCACCAAAATCTTGGTCAAACCCCTCGCCAAAGTGCTCTTCGTAAGCTTCAATCCCCTCGTTTTCGCGCATACCATCATCTTCATCTAGATTTTGACTGTCCATGTTCTCGTCCATATCCTCCTGCTCGTCATTCTGTTCTTCTTCGCTGTCCGACACATCCCCCATGACTTTGAATTGACCAGAGCTGGAAATCTTGTGCCCAAAATTGGTAGCAAAATCGCCCGCTTCAGTTGAAGTAGGTTCCTCGTCGACGCCGTCAAGTGCTTGATTGTCTTCCAGAGTGGTATTGTTATCAAGCTCCTGTTCGATTTCTGCGTCTACTTCATCTTCACCGTCCTGCAAAAAGAGAGATGGTTCGTCAAGTGGGCCTTGGTACTCTGCTTGGTCGTGAGTTCCAATGTCTGGCATCGGGTGGCTGACTGGCTCCTTTGCAAAGCCTTCTTCGACGAGGCTCGGAAACTCCCCCAGGCCCTCGGCCGCAGTGTTTGGCATCGCTTGGTCAGGCTGCTCCTCTGACGCCTCCTCTTCAGGCAAGACTTCAGGCTGATCATGGCTTTCAAGTCCGATATCTGGCATATCTTGATCGACTTCGTCCATGTTTTGCGGCTTCTCTTGGCCTTGAGTCTCAGAGTCTGGCATGGCTTGGTCAACCTGGCTCGTTGGGTTGTCTTCTTCCAGCTGGGCTTGGGGCTCTCCTTGGCCCTCGTTTCCAGTATCGGGTGCGCGCTCGAAAATTGTCTCCATTAGGGTTTCTTGAGGCTCGAGCTTTATATTTGGCACATTTGGGGATGAGTAGTTGTACCGATCGCCCAAGGAACCGAACGGAGAGGGTTTCTGCTCTTGCGCTACACGAGGCGCAGAAGTCGAGGATCCCCAGTGGCTGTCTCCATCGTCATCATCGTCATCGATGGTGATGTAGATGCGGCCCTTCATAGTGAAGGGTTAGGTGCTGGTAGTTTCTCTTGTTGGTAGCAAGAGACCTGAAGCTGTATTATTAGCTTATTACTCCCAAGCAGAAAGCATGAAGAGCAAGAACATAAGAGTGGCGGCTAACCTTATCAAAGCTGGATAGAGGGTTCATATAATTCCCAAGAATGAGTTTTGTTTCATTGGCGCAAAACGACAATCTTTAAAATGAAATCCAAGTGGAAAGCTGCTCTGAAATGTCCCAGGATTAAAAGCCGAAAGCGAAAAGGTGAAGAGATAGTTTGGGCTATGTATAGAATAGAAATAAAGAAGGTGCAAGTCTGGCGCTTGAAATCGCCTCATATGAGTAGGAGATATATTCAAATGATTTGTGTGCAGGAACTTTGCTGAAGGTGAGAAGGAGTAGGAGTAAGAGGTGGGTGTTGAGGGGAAGAAAAGTGCGAGGCGACTAGGAGAATAACAGGGAATTATCAAGGCACGAAGCCACGAGAGAAAAAAGAAAATTAGAAAGGGCAGCTAAGCGAATAGAAGACTGAAGAACTTCTAAGAATCTGCTGAGGCGCTGGAAATAGAATGCAGTGCAGTGAAATAAGATATGAGAGAAGCGGGAGATCCGGCGTGGTTTACATTCATGCCTTATATATGCGTGGACGTGGAATCCGTGTTGGCGCATTCGTTGCGCCAAACATTAAAAATCAGTGTCTACACGCTTTGGTTTGCAGCTCGCATACCCAAGACTCGAGCTCCTTTTTGTTACAACAAAGTCATTTCGCTACGGAAACTCATCGCTTCAACCATTAGGCCACATGAGCAAGGCAAAATCAACCTAATTGAATCCATCCGCACAATCACCAGTTGCTTCCGATTGAGAGCTATGGTTCGCTAGATCAGACTGAATTCCGTTAAGCAAAAGGGGTGGGCTTACTACTGATATATACCGGGAAACATGTTGCAAACCGTAGTTTTCAGGAATGGGGGACAGGCACGATACTACCGCTCATCAGGCATTCAACTACACCAACTCGGATCGAGTCAAAATGCTATATCATATTGCCAATGGCCAATTCCAAATTAAATACATATCTTTCTTGCATATATTCAAAAGTAAAGGACGCTTCGTTAGCTCAACGCAACGATATGGGGCTAAATCTATGATGGACGATGCTGTTGCTGGTACAATCCTTCCCTTTCAGGACAGTCTTAGTATGGCTTCCATAATTCTAGCAGATCTCTTGAATTTCCTAGCCTTCATAAATGAACTTCAGGAATGCTCTTGCGATAGCAACACCATCGTGGGGGATAGGCGCCCGTTTTATGCCATCAGCGTAGACCTCATCGCTAAAGATGCCGACCTTATGGCGATTAAACAAGATTTCGGATATGATTTCGTCTGTGAACTCGGGGTGGCCCTGGACCGTAATATACTTCTTCGGCAGGTACATACCCTGCACGGTGCAGATGTCGTTAGATCCGAGAGGGATCGCGTCGGGAGGAAAGTTGTACACAATATCTCGATGCATTTGGTGTATCCGCTATACGAACCGGTTAGCCACAACATCCGCTTATTGGGGCCGGAGGGCCTTACCATCTTCTCAAGTCCCAGAATCTCCTTGCCCTTTTCAGTGAGCTCAACGTCTGTGACTGCAACTTCCCAACCCTTATCACTCTTTCCGAGATTCGCTCCAGCCGCCCTGCCAACAATTTGGTGACCAAAGCAGATACCGACCACTTTGACCCGGCCACTGTCAAGGGCAGCCTTGACATACTCGACCAATTTCAATATCCACGGGTCGTCATCGAAGGCAGTGTGCCTAGAGCCTGTCAACCACAGGGCGTCGACGTCTTCGAGCTTAGGGTATGAGGTCAGGTCGTTGACAACGTCGTGCGACGTCACTGCGACGCCCAAGTCCTCCAGGTCTTTCTTCGGCTCGTCGAGCGTCTGGCAGGCGGCGTTCAGTAAGGCTTTGAATACCCCAGAGTAGGAGCCAAACTTGGCCTTGGTCTGGGGTTGGGGAGTGTCGCACTCGAGAATCGCTAAGCGGAGAGGAGGAGCCATAGTAATAAGAATTCCTAGGGGGGAATGTTAATGTTCGGTATGCTGTAGGAAATATGAAGCCGAAGGAAAAGTGGTGATGCGCTGCAGATCAAACGCAATAAGTCGCCATCTGTCAAAGCCGCGTCCGATAGCGGCGGGGGAGGGGCAGTGAGTGGTCAGGGGATTTCGACGATCAGGCACTGGGCCAATCAATTCTGGGGCAATTAGCCTTGCAGGCGTTGGCCATGGTCAAGGCGGCGAGGCCAGTCCAGGCGGGACCGATTATACAAGGGAGATTCTCTCATCAGATGATGGGTTTCTGGTGAATGTTGTAGGTTTGTTGTAGGTTTGTTGTGTTGATATTAGCACATTGGACAGAGTGTTGATCTGGCAATGGGCGGTTGCGCTACGTCATCGGCTATCACATGGTGGCATGTCTCTGGTACCTGAGCAATCGCGAAACCACCGTGATCATTGTAGACGTAGTCAACTACTGCACCTAATTTCCCATCTAATGCTTTTCTATAAGTATTCTAAGTTGATAGGACAAGTATACTGGCACTTGGTGGCATCGCGACATTGCGCAGTTATTGACCTCTGTAATAGAGTTGAACGGCAAGCAAGGCACTTAATTAAGGTAGAACGTCTGGCATACTTTTCAAAGGTAGCATTACCATGAGATTCATAGAGACTAATACTTGGTATCAATTGATGTTTTTTGGGGATGATATAATTTTGATTCTACGAAGAGCTATCACTATTGAAGCAACGTTCTTGATACTACACACGCTCATCTACTGGCAAGCCCGCCTAGATAGTCCCATATAACTCGATATGAAATGATTATTGAAGAAAGCCTGAAAATAAACTCGGCAGCAGATTTGGGATTACAGCTTTAGCACCTTACCATCTGATTGATACAAGGCAGCGCACATGCATACGCAAGCCTAGGGTAGGCACTCGAGAATTTATACCGGGAGGTTATGCTCGTGCGTTTCCAACCGGAACGAGAAGGAAATTACTGATACTCTCAGGACATTGTGCTTTTTATTTTATTCCTGTTCTCGGTCCCTTCTAGGTTGTTGTAATTCGATTGAGGTATGTTCTGTCCACGGGAAGGAGAAGAATGATCGAGGCTGGGCAAATCGGGAAGAACGATGTATTGCTGTGCGAAAGGCTTCATATCATGGCTCGCTTCGTACACGCCCGGGCTCGACTGGGGGGGATTAGGAGACACTGCAAAAACAACTTGAAGAAAGGGACATTCCGATCAACGAGTGCCTGCCCCCGCGCCGGGAGCTCTGGTCGCAATGGCTGGATGGCTACAAAAGTATGAATCTTGGTCCATGCCAAATTGGACCTGAAACAGGGCGCCGTCAAGCAAACAAAGCCAGGGGGGAAGCTATTTGCCAGCGTAAGCCGGATTATCTGTATATCCGGGGCTTCGGGTGGGTCGAAAGTGTCAATCGCTGCTAGAGGTCTCCACTCAAGGTGCCTAGTAGCGCTGGGGCAGGAGTAACCTTGCGGTACGTGCAGCCGTGGTAGGGAGCTGCCAGGTGTCGTTGCGTAGGTGCTCCCCGGCTCCATGCAGCTGTTGCTGCCTCCATCCAAAAAGAACGTAACAACTTTCCACTTCTTTCCTTCCACCTTCAACCCGTCATCCCCTACCTCTTCCTCTTCACGACGATAATCCGCGCGACCCCTCTTTCTGCTTGCCGCAATCAAGTAGACTGTATTGACGATCATTTGCAGCCGCGACTCTTGTTCTTCTCTCGTCCTTTCTCATCTCCCAGCAGCGTCTCCTTTTCTGCCAAACCCGCGTTGCCCCTTGTGCCGCGTGGCGCATGGAAGCGACTATTCATCTCTCCACCACAAATTGCTTCTCAGCTCCTGTTTCAGACGATCTAGGACTCTTGCAGACTACTGGCGACGACCTCAGTCGTACTCGCGGCTAGGAGTATCGAGTTGACGAAGGGCCATACTACTTGATTTTCGGGCACACCGGCGACATGGCGCCCCTACCCATCAAATTCCAGGAGCTGGTCCAGCTCACCAGCACTGGTGTCGACACACAATCCATCGGGTTCAACACTTGCGTAAGTGACACTCATCTCCTCCCAACCCCTATTGGCATCCGCATCATGCATACGTCACCAAAGGGTAGGCAGCGAGCTAACTCTACGGCGCTTCTCGCGCTTTTCTAGACACTCGAATCAGATCACTTCGTCTGTATCCGGGAAAAGAAGGACGAAGCTTCCCAACCCGAAGTTGTCATCATCGAGCTCAAGAATGGCAACAACATCACCAGACGGCCAATCAAGGCCGACAGTGCCATCATGCACTGGTCTCGCCAAGTCATCGCCCTCAAGGCGCAATCCCGCACACTACAGATCTTCGACCTCGAGCAGAAGAAGAAGCTGAAATCCTGCACCATGAATGAGGATGTTCAGTTTTGGAAGTGGATCAGCGAGTCTAGCATTGGTCTTGTTACATCCAGCAGTGTGTATCACTGGGACGTCTATGACGCAGGTCAGGACGCACCTGTGAAGGTGTTCGAGCGCAACGCGAACTTGAATGTACGTTTTTGATGAGAGAGGACATGGTAATTGGCTTTGACTCACTTATTCTCTAGGGCTGCCAAATCATCAACTACCGTGTTAATGTGGACGGAAAGTGGATGGTTGTGGTAGGTATTTCCTCACAAGGTGGCCGTGTGGTTGGTGCCATGCAGCTCTACTCCAAGGACCGTGGTATCAGCCAGGCTATCGAGGGCCATGCCGCTGCCTTCGGCTCTCTGAGGCTGGAAGGCGCTCCCCAGGATACCAAGCTCTTCACTTTCGCTGTGCGATCCGCCACCGGTGCCAAGCTCCACGTCGTTGAAGTCGACCACGCCGAGAACAACCCGGTTTTCCAGAAGAAGGCTGTCGACATCTTCTTCCCGCCTGAGGCTACCAACGACTTCCCCGTGGCCCTGCAAGTTTCTCAGAAATACGGTGTTGTCTTCATGGTAACCAAGTACGGATTCATCCATCTCTATGACCTGGAGACTGGAACGTGTATCTTCATGAACCGTATCTCGAGCGAAACTATATTCACCACGTGTACCGATGACGGGTCTACTGGGCTGGTGGGTATCAACCGTAAGGGTCAGGTCCTGTTTGTTACTGTTGATGATACGAATGCGATCCCCTATCTCCTTCAAAATCCTGCCAACAGCGAAATCGCTATCAAGATGGCATCTCGTGCTGGTCTTCCCGGCGCCGACGACCTCTACGCCAGACAATTCGACCAGCTCTTCAACACTGGTAACTACAGCGAAGCCGCCAAGATTGCAGCAAACTCTCCTCGCGGCTTCCTCCGAACCCCCCAGACTATTGAGAAGTTCAAGCAGCTCCAAACTCAGCCTGGACAGATGGCTTTCACCCTGCAGTACTTTGGTATGCTTCTCGACAAGGGTGCTCTGAATGCGCACGAGACGATCGAGCTTGCCCAGCCTGTTCTGGCCCAGAACCGCAAGCACCTGCTTGAGAAGTGGCTCAAGGAGGAGAAGCTAGATTGCTCAGAGCAGCTCGGTGATATGGTTCGACCATATGATATGAACATGGCTCTTGCAATTTATCTCAAGGCCAACGTTCCCCACAAGGTCGTTGCTGGCTTCGCTGAGACTGGGCAATTCGACAAGATTCTCCCCTACAGTGCTCAGAGTGGCTATCAACCCGATTTTATCCAGCTTCTCCAACACATCATTCGAGCAGACCCAGAGAAGGGAGCTGCATTTGCCACTGCCCTGGCTAACAACGAAGGGGGTCCTCTGGTCGACTTGGAGCGAGTTTGTGATATTTTCCAATCTCAGGGTATGATCCAGCAGGCCACCGCCTTCCTGCTTGACGCCCTTAAGGATAACAATCCCGAACATGCTCGTCTGCAGACCCGACTTTTGGAGATGAACCTGATGCACGCTCCTCAAGTGGCTGAGGCTATTCTCACGAACGACATGTTCACCCACTTCGACAAGGCCCGCATTGCCCACCTTTGCGAGCAGGCTGGTCTGGCACAAAAGGCCGCCGAACTCTACGAAGACCCCGAGGCTATCAAGCGTGTTATTGTCAACATTCCTGGAACCCCCAACTTCAACGCCGAGTGGTTGACAGGTTTCTTTGGCAAGCTGTCCGTGGAGCAATCACTTGCCTGCCTTGACGCTATGATGAAGCACAACATCCGTCAGAACTTGCAGTCTGTTGTTAATATTGCGACCAAGTACTCTGAGCTTCTTGGCCCTGTTCACTTGATTGACCTGTTCGAGAAGTATAAGACCGCTGAAGGTCTCTTCTACTACTTGGGAAGCATCGTCAACCTTTCCGAGGACCCTGATGTTCACTTCAAGTATATTGAATCTGCTACCAAGATGGGCCAATTCAATGAGGTTGAGCGTATTTGCCGCGATAGTAACGCGTACAATCCCGAGAAGGTGAAGAACTTCCTCAAGGAAGCTAAGCTTCCTGAGCAGCTACCTCTCATTATTGTTTGCGACAGGTTCAACTTTGTCCATGATCTCATCCTGTTCTTGTACCAGAACCAGCAGTTCCAGGCCATTGAGGCTTACGTTCAGCGCGTCAACCCTGGCAGGACCCCTGCCGTTATCGGTGGATTGCTGGACGTCGACTGCGATGAGAACATCATTAAGCAGCTTTTGAGCACTGTTAATGCTGAGCAGATCAACATTGACGAGCTCGTATCAGAAGTTGAGTCTCGTAACCGGTTGAAGCTTCTCCTGCCCTTCCTTGAGGCCACCCTTCAAGCTGGCAACACACAGCAAGCCATTTTCAACGCTCTGGCCAAAATCTACATTGACTCAAACAACAACCCAGAGAAGTTCCTCAAAGAGAACGACCAGTACGATACCCTCTCTGTCGGAAAGTACTGCGAGAAGCGTGACCCCAACTTGGCCTACATTGCCTACTCCAAGGGCCAGAATGACCTGGAGCTGGTAAATATCACCAACGAGAATTCCATGTACAGGGCTCAGGCACGTTACCTCCTTGAGCGCTCTGACAACGAGCTGTGGCGATTCGTTCTGAGCGAGAACAACATCCACCGTCGTTCTGTTGTCGACCAGGTCACCGCTACTGCCGTTCCAGAGGCGAGTGACCCAGCCAAGGTCTCTGTTGCCGTCTCTGCCTTCCTTGAGAACGATCTTCCACTTGAACTTATTGAGTTGCTGGAGAAGATTGTTTTGGAGCCCTCGCCTTTCAGCGACAACCAAAATCTCCAGAACCTCCTCCTCTTCACGGCTGCCAAGGCTGACAAGGCTCGCGTCATGGACTACATCCACAAGCTCGACAACTACAACGCTGATGACATTGCCACATCATGTATTGAAGTTGGACTCCACGAGGAAGCCTTTGAGATCTACAAGAAGGCTGACAACAAGTCTTCTGCCGTCGATGTTCTCATTGAACACGTCGTCAGCATTGATCGAGCACAGGCATATGCCGAGGAAGTCGACCTGCCTGATGTTTGGAGCAAGGTTGCCAAGGCTCAACTCGATGGACTTCGTGTCCCTGACGCCATTGAGTCGTACATCAAGGCCGAGGACCCCAAGAACTACGAGGAGGTCATTGAGATCGCTACCAATGCTGGCAAGAACGAGGAACTCGTCAAGTTCCTTCGTATGGCCCGCAAGACTCTGAGGGAGCCTGCCATTGATACTGCACTTGCTTTCTGCTATGCCCGTCTGGACCAGCTCCACGAGCTTGAGGACTTCCTCAGAGCTACAAACGTTGCTAACATCGAGGAATCTGGTGACAAGGCTTACGAGGAAGGACTCTATGAAGCTTCCAAGATCTTCTACACCAGCATCTCCAACTGGGCCAAGCTCGCCACCACTCTCGTCCACCTTGCCGAATACCAGGCCGCTGTTGAATGCGCTCGCAAGGCCAACAACATCAGGGTTTGGAAGCAGGTTCACGATGCTTGCGTCAGCAAGAAGGAGTTCCGCCTGGCCCAGATCTGTGGTCTCAACTTGATCGTCGATGCAGAGCAACTGCAAGAGCTTGTCAAGTCATATGAGTACAACGGATACTTCGACGAGCTCATCAGCTTATTGGAGCAAGGTCTCGGTCTCGAGCGTGCCCACATGGGTATGTTTACTGAGCTTGGTATCGCACTGTCCAAGTATCACCCTGAGCGTCTGATGGAGCACATTAAGCTGTTCTGGTCCAGAATGAACATGCCCAAGATGATCCGTTCCTGTGAGGAGGCAAACCTTTGGCCCGAGCTCGTTTTCTGCTACTATCACTATGATGAGTTTGATAACGCCGCTCTGGCCGTCATTGAGCGCCCTGAGAACTCTTGGGATCACACCCAGTTCAAGGAGATTGTTGTCAAGGTTGCCAATCTCGAAATCTACTACCGTGCTATCAAGTTTTACGTCGAGCAACATCCTTCGCTGTTGACCGACCTCTTGACCGCCCTCACTGCCCGCATCGATGTCAACCGTGTCGTCAAGATCTTCCAGAAGAACGATGATCTCCCCCTGATCAAGCCTTTCTTGCTCAACGTCCAGGTTCAAAACAAGCGTATTGTGAACGAGGCTATCAATGACCTACTCATTGAGGAGGAAGATTACAAGACTCTCCGCGATTCCGTTCAGAACTATGACAACTACGATGCTGTTGAGTTGGCTGGCCGCCTCGAGAAGCACGACTTGATCTTCTTCCGCCAAATCGCCGCCAACATCTACCGCAAAAACAAGCGCTGGGAGAAGTCCATTGCCCTATCCAAGCAGGACAAATTGTACAAGGATGCTATCGAGACTTCTGCGCTCTCCGGCAAGAACGAAATTGTTGAGGACCTCCTGCGATACGTAAGTCTCTATCTCTGCTCTGCCAATCTTATCCTCCCCCATATTCTAACAATTCGCTATTTAGTTCGTCGATATCGGCCACCGTGAATGCTACACTGGTATGCTGTACGCTTGCAATGACCTCATCCGGCCTGATCTTGTCCTTGAACTGTCATGGCGATTCGGCCTCAATGACTTCACTATGCCTTACATGATCAACATGCTTGCTCAGCAGACTAAGGAGATCGCACTTCTGAAGGCTGACAACGAGGCTCGCAAGGCCAAGGAGAAGGAGGTAGAGAAGACGGAGGACAACACGCCAATTCTGGGTGCGTCCCGCCTGATGATCACAGCTGGCCCTGGAGGCAACAGCCCTTCACCCTACGGCCAACCGAATGGTTTCGCACCACAACCCACCGGCTATGGTTACTAGGCGCAGGCACCCGGGTGGTCTTGGTATCCAGTAAACAGTGGTCAATTGGTCCGGCCACAGTAATAAAGGAGATGGCGAAGGTGCATATAGTATTTCGAGAAACGACGATGGTGGACTTGGCCAGGAGCTTCAAGGAATCAAGTCATTGATGTAATCATATTTTGTGTTATCTACTCTTTAAAACGGGTGGAAGAGGACATGTTATTCTTCAGGATTCTTTATGGATTTCGAGGTTTTGTTTTCGCTCCAGTCGGCAGGAACGGTCTCTTTACATGGGCCATTCCAAGTGCGTTATTTCACGGTAAATTAGATGAAAAAGAGCAGCAGGTGAGGTGTGGACAGATGGTCGCTCTCACGACGGTTTCTTTTAGTATGTGTGTATGATAATACAATATATTTCGTTCTGAAATCTTAAAGTAGGCAATAACGGAAAAGTGATTGATAACGCATTCGATTGTATATCCAAACGCCCAACACCCGGTAGTGCCTCGTTTCCCATCTTTTGACTGACATATGGGCCAAGTTGTCTTCACCATTGGACACTTTACATAAAAAAAGTAAGAAACAAAAATCTAAGGCAGAGGTACATCTTGTTCAACAATAGCCCGCTTTCGCATATCATTGGGCTTGGGGTCAGCAATCTTGAGCCACTCGCCATTGAATGCGTTGATAAGCCAGTTGCTCAGCTCTGGTATCTCATTAGTCCTGTTTCATCAGGGGAGCACGGGGAGTAGGTGAAGGGAGGAAGAAACTCACTGTCGTAGACGATACGGTTGGCGTTGTGGAAGTAGATGCTGTGGTCGCTGTCGGGAAAGACGTGGACGTCGTAGTTCTCTACGCCGGCGAGGTCGAGGGCGTCGAGGAGGCGGAGGGAGTTTTGGAAGTGGACGTTGTCGTCGGCGACGCCGTGCATGACGAGGAAGCGGACGTTGCGGCCGAGGGCGGTGGCGTTTGTGACGCTCGAGGCGGCGTACCCCTCGCGGTTGTCCTTTGGCTGGCGCATGTAGCGCTCGGTGTAGATGCTGTCGTAGAGGCTCCAGTCGGTGACGGGGGCGACGGCCATGCCGTAGGAGAAGGTCTGCCCCGCGTCCTGCTCGAGGGTCTTGAGGGTCTGGAAGCCGCCGTAGGACCAGCCCCAGATGGCGACGCGGTTGGCGTCGACGTAGGGCTGGCGGGAGAAGTGCTGGGCGGCGGCGATGTGGTCGGCGGCCTCGTGGGCGCCGAGCTGGTCGCGGACGGGGACGCGGTGAGCGCGGCCGAGGAAGCCGGTGCCGCGGGGGTCGACGGTGATGACGACGTAGCCGAGGCTGGAAGCGACGTAGGACTGGAAGTCGACGGTGAAGCGCTTGTTGACCTGCTGGGAGCCCGGGCCCGAGTACTGGTGGAAGAGGACGGGGTACTGCTTCTTGGGGTTGAAGTGCGGGGGGCGGCGCTCGACGTAGTTGACCTTGACGCCGTTGCCGAGGTCGAGGACGCCGTACTTGAGGATGGGGAGCTCGTGCTTGCGGGCGCGCTCTGCCAAGGCGGAGTTGTCCTCGAGCAGGCTGTAGTAGGCGCTGGGGTTGGAAGGGGTGGACTTGACGGACTGGTACGGGGTCTTGGGGCCGCTGTAGGAGAGGAGCATGTATCCGGCGGCGTGGGAGAAGGAGGCCGAGTAGTAGCCCTCCTCCTTGGTGTCGGTCAGGGCCTGGAGGTTGGAGCCGTCGAGCAGGTTGACCGAGTAGACGTGGCGCTGGATGGAGGATTCCTTGGTGGCGACAAAGTAGACGAGGTTGTTAGCGACATCGACCGCTGAAGGCGCGTCGTCGACCTCCCACTGGCCAGATGTGAGCATGATGGGCTTGGAGCTGTCCAGGGGCGTGAAGTAGGCGAGATGGTCGTACCCGTCGTGAATGACGGAGTCGACGTAGCCATCGTGCGGGCGTCCCTTGCTGGGGTCGGCAGGGACATAGGTCATCTGCTTGGAAATCTCAAACCAGCCGCCGTCAATGGCGTTGATATCTGAAGATCGAACGGTGCGAGATTGACGAGTGTCGGCATCAAAGAGCACGACCTTGACATGGTCGCTTACGCGGTTCGTTTCCTTGATGAGGGCCTTCTTGTTGCCGGCCCAGACAACGCTGTTGATGATGCGGTCATCGTCAGGGAACTGGTCACCAGAATCGACGCTGAAGACCTCGTTCTTGGCCACGTCGTAGAATTTCAGCTCGACGACTGGGTTATGGGAGCCGGCCTTGGGGTATTTGATCCTGACCTCCTCTGGGAAGCTGCCTTCGTCGCTAGGAGGCTGGGTGCCGCTTGGCCGGCTGACGAAGAATTGGACGGGATACTCGGGCACTCCAGTCTCGTTGGTGCGGAGGAAGGCGATGTGCTGGCCGTCGGCGGACCACCAGGTCGCGCTACGGTCAGAGAGAACCTCTTCCTCGTAGACCCAATCAGGCACACCATTGAAGCACTCGACGCCACCGTCATCTGTGACCTGGACTATCTCCTTGTTGTTGTCAAGAGGGCGAACGTAGAGGTTGTTATCGTCCGTCCATGTAAAGGCAATGGCGTCGCTCTTGGGGCTCCAAGTCGCCAGCATGATATTGGCGTCGACGTCCTCGGGCAGAAGTGGCTCGATCTCGCCGGATGCCACGTCGAGAATGAAGTAGGTGGCAGTATAAGAATGTCGCCAGTGGTGGACCTTGAAGACGGCCAGCAGGACCTTCTTCAGGTCGGGGCTGGGTACGGCCTCGCTGGTCACGTACGAACGGCCGTCGTATTCGAATCTGGCGTCTTTCATGAGCACGCGGGCACTATATGCATCGGCCGAGTCTTTTTTTGATCCTTGAGTTCGCACATCCTCCACGACGAGGTAGTCCTTGCCAGGCACGCCCTTCTCGAGGAGCAAGCCGTCTTTGCCATCGGGGTCGGCGATCCAGCTGATGCTGTGTACTTTGGCTCTCCAGTATCCAGTTAGGACCTGGTCGAGGGTCACTGCCTTGCCCGAGCCGCGGTGGTCTGCGTTGGGATCGTGCTCGGTGTCGCTGTCATGGTGGTAGGAGCCCTTTGCGACGAAGATGCCGAGGGCGACGAGCCAAGCAATGGTGAAGATGGACACACCGATGATGAGGACACGGCGGAGGCCCTTGTCCATGAACTTTCGGGGTTCCGCCTTGTTGCGGTTATTATTATCTGCGCCCTCGCGGGGGATGAAGGCGCGGGTCTCGAGATCGTCTTCAGGCTTGAGGGGGTCCTCATCGTCGAGGTCGGCGATATCGACGTCCCTGTATGAACCTCCGCTGGCCATGTTTGCCTGGTTGGCTCTTCGCCTGGCGGCTGCCTTCTCGTTTTCTTCCTGGAGACGGTCGAATACGATGCTCGTGGTCGACACGGAGGACAAGGAGTCGCGGGGCTGGTTCTCGGCGGTGTTGGGGTTGGTGGGAGCCATGTTTCGGGATGGCCAGAGGCGGCTCTATTCTTGGTGCTGGCGTCGCGTGCAGCTGTGGGAGAGAGTCGGGGAGCAGGAGGGAGGACACAAAACAAACATCACCTCGCAGCAGACACAACAAGCATCGTGTTCTTGGCAGCAAGAACTAGAGGCGGCGTCTCAATGGGTGGTTGTCCTCAATGAAGGGCGGCGCGACACTCCTTTGGGGACTCAATAGAGCTGGGCAGAGGATCGCAGCAGCACGTAATCGGGAGCTAAGAATAGCACCAGCCGCCAGGGACCAGGCCGGGGTCTGGCCTACCCTATACAAGTCATCCTTCCTGCTGACTTTGACTCTGCATCGCTGCAGTTGATTACGGGCCTTTTGTAGGCAGGAACAGACTGTGGCTGAAATTAGCCATATGTTTATGTGTCCTGACCAGATTATGTATGAGTCATGCCATCCAGCGAGACCTCTGGGAATTGATCCTTCATTTGTGATACTGCAGGGCATTGACTGACCATAAGACATCCACATGTCCGCACCTCACAACCCTTTCCCGGCTTAAGTATCGGATTAATCCTATCTCACATATTTCCTCTCCATATAATGACTACTGATGAATACACGGCAAGACACAAACGCAGCCTGCACGTGCCTGGGTCTGATGGTGTTGGTGGTGATAGAAGGGAGTGCTCCTCCAGGAAGGATGGCGCCAAGCCTCCAAGGCGATCGGCCGAAGCCTACTCCGGAATTGTGCCAGTAGCAATAAGCTACCTAATGGCCCCTCTCCAGAGGCCAAAGCTCCTCCCTCCCTGCAGCTGGCGATGGGATGGGCAAGATGGGTCAACTAGCCGGTTAGCACAACTCTATCTCCTCTGGATAAGATTCCCCCAGGCCGGCCTCACGGCACTCGGATAGAACGGACAGGTGTTGTTTACGTAGGCAGTGAAGATGGGCAGCAGATCATCATCTCTTGGGCGTCGTGTCCCAGCCTTGTGCTCGCAGAACCAGCCCATGATTTGGTGCCATCGTCATCGCGTGCACCACCTGTTCTATAGCGTTCGCTGATCGACCACTCGGTAGGTACTGTAGTCTTGAGCCTCTCATAATATCCCGTCGCCTTCCGACGTCGAAGCCCTGTAAGGCTCGGAGCCCGATGTCTCGATTAAGCTGACGGCGCAACTCGGTTTCCTCGTTCTCAGCACGCAGATCCATCGCGACGAGGCGTTTTCGTGGGCCTCTTCAGGCACCGGGAACTCGCCTGTGGCAGTGGGCTAGGCGAGCGACAGGGAGGGTGCAGCAGGGCCTGTGGTTGGCTTTCAGGGGGATGGACGCCTAATGCCGCAGACCCACAGGCTCGCTCCCGACGGATACGATGGATACGTCTGTCTTTGCCCGGACTAAACCGCTGGTAGCTAACAAGAAGGGTGAGTTGACGACGATGACGATCATACGACGGGTGTACGACGGGCAATGATGGCGATATGTGGTGATGGGGGTGCGGTGATTTTGGCCGTTATGAAATCTATAAAGGAGAGTTGACGTCCTCCGGCTTTTGACGAAATGGACATCATCGTCAGTCTCAACGGCCTCTGTCACTTCCCATCTGTTGAATTATACCACTGAAACACCATCGTGTTAGCCACTAATCACAATGGTCGGCACTGCAAGCAAGGACGCTCCCAAGGAGCCCGCTCACGTCCCCGCTGCTGTCTCCGATCTACACTGTGTATGTATATATATATCTTCCAAGTCCATTGCTCGTTGTTAACTGAGGTGCATGTAGTTTACAGAGACAGAAGGCATCGTGACCACCACCATGATGGACCTCCCCGGATACCGTGTCGTCCGCGTGCTCGGCGCCGTCTACGGCCTCACCGTGCGCTCCCGCAACATCGCCGCCGGCCTGGGCATGGTCTTCAAGTCCTTGGCGGGCGGCGAGCTGCAGTGGTTCACCTCCATGCTCTACTCGTGCCGCAACGACTCGCTCTCCCGCTGCGTCGCAGAGTGCAAGGCCCGCGGCGGCAACGCCATCATCTGCCTGCGCTTCGACGCCGCGGATCTCGGCGGGTTCGCGCAGACCTGTGCCTACGGGACGGCTTGCATCGTTGAGAAGATCCCCGAGGCTCCTGCTGTGGCTTCGCAGCTCGAGCAGACGGTTGCCTGAGCTTGTGTTGGGAAGAGGGTTGGGCTGCATGTATTAGGTTCTGTGTTTTCCCTATCAAGTTTCTTTTGGAGAATGCTGTTGAGATACCATTTTGTTTGTGGGCGGGAGGATATATTGGACAAGTTATAATTTAACAAGTTGCATTTTGACAATGAAGCATACAGTGGAACAAGGATTATACAAGAAGAAGAAGATGCTCCGTCGCGACCAAGCTCTCGACATCCCCGGGTGCTTCTATACACTCAAGGCCTGAGTAACACATCCGGGCTGGATCTCCTCCAGCCTCTGAGCCAGCTGTTCCCAGATCGCAGTCTGCCAAGTAGGGCCTTCGCCGCTCTTGATCCAGTCGGGGACGGAGTCTCTGTTTCCCAGATGATAAGTAAATGGTCCACCAATTCACAGGGGGGATGCGCTCGACTCACTCCTTTATTTCGCACTCGGACAAGTACTTTCCGTGGCTCTCTTCGCCCGCGGCGACTCCGTGGAGCAGAGTCCGGCTGCCTTCTTCCGAGCTGCGGCCCGCGATGAGCTTCGCGATGCTGAGGTTGAAGCGCAGCATGGCGCTCGCGTCGCGCAAGAGGTTGGTCTTGCAGAGGCCGGGATTGACGATGTTGATGATGACCCTGGAGTGGTCCACGGGTTTGCGGAAGGCGAGCTCGCGGGCTGCGAAGTGCAGTATTAACTTGGAAACAGAATATCTTATCGACAGCTTCGAGTCAGCGCGCGGAGCAATCATATGAATCTACAGTCACGGAAGCTGGCACATACCGGCTCACCATGGTATCCTCCCACTTCTTCTGATCGTTGAGATCATTGAATATATCCTCCATGTCCGCCTTGAAGAGGGCATCGTGAGCGTAGAAGCCGCTCATGCTCCCAACGACGGAAACTGTCGGGGTGATCTCGAGCCTCTTGGCGCACTTCTCCATGAAGGGGAGGAGCAGCACAACGAGCAGCATGTTCGAGACGACGTTGACTGTCAGGTTCGACTCGAGGCCCTCCGCCTCCTGCCAGTGGTGCATGCTCACGCCCGCGTTGGCGACCAGCCCATCGACGCGGTCGAGCTCCGCCTCGACCTTCTTCGCAAAGTCCCTGACGCTGTCGTGTGAGGCGTAGTCAACGTGCCAGACGAGGATGGCGGTTTTGTGGTTAGGGACGGCCGCGTCGATGGATTGCTTGGCCGCCTTGCCGCTGTCGAGGTTGCGCACCGCCATGACCACGCGGGCGGCGCCCAGCTGGACGAGGCGCTGGGAGCATGCTAGGCCGAGGCCCGAGTTGGCTCCGGTCACGATGAATGTGCGGCCCTCGCACTGCTCTGCGGTGAGCTTCAGAGGGAGGCTCTGGAATAAAGAGCCTAGCGAGAACATTGCTCGTGCGCTTGGGAGTGGCCTGCTAGAAGGGGTAGAAGGGGGAAGAAGAGCTTTCCGGGGCGATGCTGTCGATGGAGACACTACCCCCAGTTATAGTTGTTATGTTGTGATGGGTTCTCTGATAAATTACGTTGCTTGAGTTGACTCGCGTGCTGTGTCGATGAGAGAAGGGAGGAGTGGTTCAGGGTTCAAGGGGGGCAGGAGAAGGATGCGTGCAGCAAGGCGCACCAACAGGTTCTGGAATGGAGGGGTATGTCTGTGATTGTAGACGGAAAGAATACTACGGAGTAGAACTGTGCCTGTTCCATATTCTCAGACATGTCTTATTTGAGAGTGTTGGTGGAATAAACAATCAAGTATTTGTGACGAGAGTAAGCGCGTTGGTGAAAGCCGGAACAATACATGAGTGGCATCAGAAAAACGCGATGACGGCTGCCCCTGCGTGCTCGTATGAATAGAGGCTCTCTCAAAAGTCAGGTTGTTTGAATGGCACTTGCAAACCGGACAAGAAAGGGGCTCGCGAGGCTGAGACTGTCTCAGAGTGATTCCGTAGCTGACATCCAGCGTCGGTATCTTGCAGGCCAATAGGGATCGATATATCGCAAATAATCCATCCTAAAGACTTCAGTGTCATCCAAATGGGATCTACGAGACTCGGGATGTACTCTCCTCTGTCATCCTCATGGTCTTTTTGAGTAGACTAACCACTCCTTGAGGTTCCTCGAGATGGAGAAATTTGTCGCCACTGAGCTTTTAGATTTGGTAAAATCTGTCTTCTGAGTAATACTAGGTTTATTTCCACACCCTGCGGTAACATGTGATACCAGATGCTCCCCCGTTCCGATGTCCTCTATTCTCGGTGGAACTTCTAACGGCTAACAAATGGCTATGCCTCTGTCGGGAAATTTACTCTATGGACGCTCGTCTACATTGTAGAGAGAAGCGGCAGCTTGGAACAAAGCATCATGTTTCCTGTTGCTGTGTTCATCCAAATGGCTCGTATCGATACTAAGGTAGCTCCCGATTTCGGTGTGCAGATCATGAGCGGCATCCTGAAAAAAGGGGGCAAATACGCATACGGCTCTGCGAGACTTTCTTATGTCAAAGGCTCATCCACCTACCTGTCCCCTCCCGACCATTGTCGACATCGGCAGATGGCTAGTGGTTGGCTCAGAGGACTGGATTAAGGCGGAAAAACCGTGTGCAAGGAAGAACCAAATGCTTGAACAAATATTGCCGATAAATTCAACTAAAATACAAAAGTGTGGCCTAGATTGCCAAAAGAAGAAATCCCAATTGGATGGGTTGGGCTCATGAGCGTCCGGGCGACCCTCGATGTCGCCATGGAGTCAATAGAATGCTCTAGGGCTCAGCCAGCAGAGTTATGCACGTTACGGGAAGGTCAAGCCTGGATAGAAGCTACATCTACCAGGGACACTGTATTTATCTCTTCCTCCTATACCCGGAGGATACTTGTCTGCTACTACGGGAGTAGGCTTTGTCCTGGTACCAAAGAATAGAGTGGTGATTTGATGACAAGAGCCAGATCAAAGATGGAAACAACACTAAAGTTATAATGAATCAATGAAGGCTACCTGAGATACCTGGGCCACGATACGTCGTTCAGATTGCAGTCTTTGTTTTTGCATTGCCGAATATCACAATAGGGGGCAGGGATGGGCTTTCCAACCCCCTAGATTTTACTGGATTTGACAAAATATTCAAACTGGGGCCTGAAGAAAGGACAGTGCGTCTACCGATGCCTTGATGGGACCATTACCTCATTAAAATCACTCTCAGCAGGCGAAGTGATGTCACATAAAATGGACTGTTGGATGATCGATGCTGAGCTTGACCGATGTTTTGGCCACTAATCGCAACTGTGGTAATGACGAATGATGGATTGTTCAGCCCTAATCTGCCTCTCGGGTTGGGGTCTGGAACAGCGGAGGCAAGGTGACGTTTCGTGGATGCAGCAAGAGGGGGTGAGTGACTCATGTTTCACAGCACACACGAAATGATAGGGATTGCAAGCTTCTGGAAAACCAGACCGAGAGAGAGCCGCACGTCCAGTTGATCACACAGCACGTTCAGACGGACGTAATAGATCAGCCATAATGTTCACGAGGTACGAGATAGTCTCACCTCTTCTACGCATGGAGCTGGTCTCGGTCATTGGAGCTGGTCGAAATCTCGGGGGCCCGAGCGAAGGATCGTCAAACCATAATGGCTGTCTGTTACACCACCGGAGAAAGGCCCTTTGAAAGGCGTCCGCGATCAGTGTGGCGGCTGTGTTCTCCCTCCAGCCAATACGAGAAAGATTTCCGTCATGGAAAGAGGTCATTTGGCCTCTTTTAATGCCTTTAATTGACCGTTTTCCTGACCTGGGACCAACAGGCAATGAAACTAATGCCGGAGGCGCACCACCATCTGGATCCAACCAATACAGCGAGCTTCACCCAGCCTGGGGCGCAGCAGCAGCTGAGGCCAGTTACAGAAAGTAGTCAATGGGAGAGGGCAGTCTGGAGAAGGATTGGATGTGACGGTTCGGCACGCTTCTTTGGCCCCCAATGAGACGAGAGGCATGGGTGCGGCAGATGATATTACGCAGCACGCATGCAGCAACTTGCGGCCTTAGGGAAAAGGGGGCAGTGTTTTCTTCTTCTTTTGGAATTGAAGCATCGTGGAAGTTGAGCAATGGCATATGATCTGACGAGAAAGTATCCTACTTGACGGAGGAGGGGTGATCAAAGACCTACACCAAAGTGATGGCAGTAGGGGGTGGTGGTGGTGGTGCATTGGATTGGACCTCAATGCTGCTCGTAGCTCACTCCGTCGATTGGAAAATTGAAAGCAGCCCTATCTGGGATCTCATCTCACCTGCCAATTGCTCAGGGCATGCTCTCTCGTGACTGGTTGACAAGTGTTATCGTCGGGTCATTCATCAGCTACACCGGTCTTTGATATCATGCATGACCCAGTTACTACATAAGATGATCCCAATAGCTGTACAAAGAAACGGTCTACTTGGTCGCCTTAAATGAGGCCGATGGCCTGCTTACATGGCCTGCAGGCAACTCCCTGTGATAACGTTGCAAGGACTGGCCTGCAGCGGGGCTGTGTAGCCTGCAGGAGCTGGAAGCACGGCACTTGATGCACAGAAGGTCGGACTTAAGCTGGAGGCCAGGGAGTGAAGTTGCATATGTATCTTGGCGAGCGTTTGCTGCTGGACTCTGTTTGGCCCGACTGAGGCGAAGAGGCCTGCCTGTACTAACTTGATACATCGACCAAAGCTCCTAATAGACGCCACATGGAAGACCACGGCTGGATCGACGGACTGGACCGACGGGGGGTGTCCCGGGGGCAGGGTTCAGCTACTCAGTATTGTGGGCATAATCACGGGCGGGGAGACCAACAAGCCATATGATATGAACCGGCTGTAAGACATCACTCTGAGACTATTCGGTGGACGCCCCAAGATGTCATTGGAGGCTACTAAGTTATTGGCCAGTAAACGCCGAATTTAACCTTTACCTACAGAGATTCCGCCGATGTCCCGTCTTCTATCTGTCTTCCTTCACTGCTCAGCTCTTGGTTGAATCCTGCATTTTCTGCTGATGGTCTACACCCCTCAGTTGCCTTATACTTCAGCATGTACTTTCACCGCAACTTTCTAGAATTGCACATTGGGTTCAGCACACCCATCAGCAATGCCATGATCAAGCCCCGAGATCCTTGATTGGCCGCCAATGACGCCACGGTGCGACACTTCTCTCTTCTAGACTCTTATGGAGAAAATGGCCACGCTGCAAGGCGTAACGAATATCCAGTTTTTTTTCGAGAAGCTCCCCATGGTTGCCTCTTGGGCAGGCACACTCACTCCTGGCGAGTGGCCTCTTGCGGAGATGCATTTTTTGGCCTGGCTTATCCTTCCTCTCCTCTCTTCCCTCTCACCTATTCCCGTGACTCAAATCCTCGGGCAGCATTGCAGCCACTCGATTCTGGCACCGCCTCCTAAAGACTTTGACGAGAATGGAAAGAATCTAGATGATGCGATACTCAGTCGCTTCACCGACATTGTTTTACCGCTAGATACGGGTGTATAGCATAGCCTCGCTCTAGTCTTGGCCATCTGCCTCTTCTTTTTCGGTATCATGTAGTTACTGATTGTATTGGATAGATCGAACACATTGTCTTGGGCATGTGGACAGGGAGTATGAAGAAGAGGGACGAGGGAGAAGAGGGAGGGGGTGTCCAATTTATTTCAACATGTCTATCACTACTTTCGTCGAGCAGGCTGGAATATGAATGATACGGTAGTATCTGTCACAGCAAAATCATTTGCCCAAGGGAGCGAATGGACTGGTACTGCCTGCTTTTGGGATTTTCTTATGTGCACTTCATGACATCTCTTTATCTGTGGTCCACTCAAAAGCATCCTACCGGCATATGAGGTGACACCCAGCCATCCAAGGCCAATATTTGTGTATGCACCGTGAGTGGGGTGAACCTATAGAAAGTACGCACGCAATATGGTTGAGTGGTTGAGTTGCCTTACCCAGTCCGCGGACCACTGCTCAGCCTTATATGCGGACGCGGTTGGGCGAGAATCAAATGTCAGACAGGATAAGGCTCAGATTGCCTCAAAGGCGCTTTACCAAAGGTCTAATAAACTTTTGACCTATCCGCATGTGTGAATCGCGTCTGTTTGCATTCCTTTTCTCCCAATGTTATAAAGTTCCGCTCCCATCCTTCCCGTGCTCTACCCGCAACTCAACAGACTGTCACTGTTCTGTTGTAACACAAAGGTCATCAGACGCAAACAATCCACTCCTTTACCCCGCTTGCCCAGCTTTTTATTTTTTTACCCATTCGACGCCCTCCTTTGACCAGTGTTATTGTTTTTGCTCTACTTGTCGATATCCAGGATTCTTGGCTACACCATCCCCTGAGGCAACAAAACCTCGTGAAGAACATACCCAAACCTGATCCTATCCTAGGTAGACTCTTAAAGGGCTTCAATATGAAGCAATCTAGTGATTCTAGCGAGAAAGATGGGTGGTCTCATCTCACCCCCCCTGCAACCGGTCAGAACATGCCTCATGAGATTATCCCTGGGCACTCGCCCAATAATGCCTTCGATGATCCTTCTGGAATGCATGGCACCTCCTTTCTTTATTTCGGCGCTGGTATTGATAATGATACGAGCTTCACCTCCCAACCGTTAGTACCTCTGAGCATAATTATTTTTGATTGCTGTTGCTAACATCATGAGGTTAAGCCAATGCTATCAAGCGCTTTCGAAGGAGCTGGACGGCATGCCATCCGCTCCCGGCTGCCATATGATGCTTACTAGGAATTCACTGAATCCACAGTTCCTTGCAAGTTTCCAATTCCAGCCTACTTCTGCAATTGGTAATTATGATTGCGAAGAGCCGTCGGTGCCACTCTTGGAAAGCCAGGGCTCGAACCCTTTCCAGACGACGAGCTCTGCTCCTATTGATGTCCCTCTAGGCAGTTCAGGAGTTCCCGAGATCTTCCTGAAACCTGCCGACAATACCGAATCAGAGAACTGCTACTCCAGCTCATATTCAAGTGGACAGGAAGGCAGCTATCCCGGCACTCCGCACACACCAAGCGTCAATAGCCCCCGAAGCGACGCGGGTTCTTTTGCTCAGATGCATGACGAAAGACAGCCGAGCTTTTCATACATGTCTGCAAGCTCTGCTTCTACCTATGCGACTTCTTGCGATGGATATGAAGATGATGCTACCCCCTCGGGTTTGGATCGTAACTCCAGTGCCTGCCTCCTCGAGCAGCGCAGCCAATATCTTCAACCAGGGTCACTGACCCCTTCGTATACCTACCCCTTGGGAAGAGAGAGTCGACCTATTTCGAACTTCATTGGCAGCACCTTTTCACGGAGATCCAGTGATATAGCACCAAGCTGTTCCACTCCAATAGGAGAAGTTGGAACGGATACCCTCCAGAGCCCTCACACTTCCCCTATCATAATTTCAGATCGCCCTCGCAGCTTATCCGACTCTTTCCAGACTCACCCGCCTCCCCCAAGCTTGAAAAGAACGAGGGACTCTGATGAATCCCAAGGGAGAGATGAGCAATTGGACGAAGAATCTGTTGTCGGCCCTGACATGGAAGGTGCCCCATTGCAACCTCGCAGGGCTCGTGGTAAGCGACAAGGCCCTCTTTCAGAAGACACGAGAAGCGGACTCAAAAGATCGCGGACAGATGGAAATACGTGCCTCAACTGCTGCCTCAGTAAGGTCAAGGTGAGTTGAGAATGATTTCCCCCATCTGAAATCAAATTGCTGACATCTTTGTAGTGTGACGGAACAAGGCTTTGTGCTCGATGTGCTCAAGGTTTTGATGGACGGGCCGTTCCCATGTGTACCAGGGCTCACTTCAAAGACATCATCAAGAAAATGTCGACCCTCTCTAGCAGTATGTATTGAAATTGATCTTCAGATACCAGATCACCGTGGGAAGCTGACTCGAGCAACAGTGCCACCCTTACTTCGCGCGCCAATCTTCGAACTATTACCGTTTCCAGTCAGCCTTGATGAAGCGGACATCTCGCACGAAACCCTTGGCAAGATCAAGGACATCAGTGTTGACTGGCATCTCGCGATCTACTACAGAGTTTCCAGGCTCCGCACCATCAATATGGAAGAGATGTGGCGGTCACTAGCAACTTTACAAAAGTCTAGATTGAATCCAATCCCTTTCCCCGCCGTCTTCGACAAACATTATTCGCGAGGCTCGCGCCCAGAGAAGATTTTCCTTCGGGAGGGAAACCTCCCTGGTCACATAAGGATGTATGTCCGATGGACTAATGTCCTAAAATTCACCACCCTGTATCAAGTTTCCAAAGACAGAGAGGAGATGCAGAGAATCACTCCCAATGGCCAGGTCTATCAGATTCTGATCCAGGTGGTCCTGATTGAGCTGCGCAGATTCGAGCGCAACATCTATGAGGTGCTCTCCAAAAGCCTCCATCAACAGGGACCAAAGGACAATGATCCAAATGCGGTACCCGAGTTGGTCACCGCGCTTGGCTATCTCCTTCTCTCACTCCGCTGGCAGATTTGCGTCTGGAAGAAGTACCGACCTTCCCTGGCCCGGGATATCAACCAGGGGAAGCGAGAGCTACGCTTTGCATTGATCCAGGACATCTGCAAGAGATTGTACCCGTACTATTTCCTCTGCCGAGATCGATGCTTGGAAGATCCGGCCGAGGTGGTGCCCGGGATGGAAACGCACTATGCCAACATGGCGGGAAGCGTTCATGAGACCTTCCCAACCGAGCTTTCCGAAGACGGCTTTAAAGCATGGATCCGTGATGGACATAACACCGTGCGTAATTGCCAAGTTGACGAGCAATCCCTTATTCAGTCGATCCTTTAGTTTTATTCTTCTTCCGCTCTTTGTTCAGAGTTGTAGAGCATGGGCTCTCCGCAAGAGAATCTGTTCACTCTTTTACGAATCTTTTTACTAAGTTGCCTCTTTCCTTCGAAGCGAAGAGAGTTTATGAAATCTTTCGTTTTATTCTTCCCCCTCCCCCCTTCCTCTTCTCTGCTTTTAATTCCTTTATTTGTGATTTTCTTTCTCAAAATTTTGCAGTTTACACTCGCTTCAACATGACCCACCTTGTTAATGGTAGCAATGATGATGGGGGATTGCAATTCATGACGACAGAAGTGCCACAATGGACAGAAAACGACAGTATGGGTGAGGGCGTCGGCAGACCTCCCCCCTCTTGTTCTTCTCATATGAGTTTGCGATTATTCTTTCTGTTTGATCATTTTTCACACTCTCACTTCTGATGTAGTTAGTTATAATCAAGTTTTAAGGCTGAATTAGCTAATTTATTTTTGTCTACCTAAATCAATGAGTTAGTGACTGTCTGTGATGTGAGAGAGCTAGTCCCACTAGATCTCCTGGGGAATACGAAGTCAGCTAATTTTAAAGTTGCTTGGAATGAAAAAGCTACTGCCACCCTGGCCTCAATTTACGAATAAGGTATCTCTATCCAGGTATTTTGTGTTCCTCCTTGCATGGCCATGTGTATTTTTGCTATACCTTTGTTATTAGGCGTCACGCTTTTCCATATCCCACTCTTCCAAAATAAACCCACTCGCCCTTCTCTTCTTCAACTTCTCTTCAAATTCCCAGTACGCCAAACAAGAATTCATCTTGCATCCAAAATTTCCTCATCTACATAGATTGCAGCGATGATTGTGTATGGTCGGGGATTGAAAGTCCCACGAGATCGGCTCAATGTATTCCTTTCTTTGTATGACGTGGATCTTCTTTTAGGGAGTTGGCTCCAGGATTCCGATGAAGAAGAAATTGCCAACGTTTTTAGAAGTAAGGGGATCGACTGGAAGTTTCGGATTTTTCTTCCATACACCAGCGATTATGGACATTTGCCATGGATCTACATCTTTGATAGTTGGATTTTTGTCTTCACCCAGAAAAAAGTTGGCGGGGAGCTGGATACGCCCGTCCCATCTTCTCTCGAAGATCTCCGTCAGCTTTTCTCGGTCGAAACTCCTGTGGACAAGTATGTCCTCGACTGCGGGATTGGTGGACGCCCCCCGTGTTGAAGCAGAGGTACAAGGTACAGACACACAGCTTCTTTTGCTCAATCATCTCATAAAACCTTATTCTAATTATACTTTTAGCCCCCGATCACCTGTGATACATGTGGCCAGGTGTTCACATCTCAACCTTTTTTCGCCTGGCGAGAACTCCAGGAGCACCGCAGAGAACTTCATGGGTCGACTGAAGGATATGCCCCTCTACCTGACGATTGTTGAGTTCCTGATAACTGCAAATTCGTTCCAGTGGCAGGTGTACGACGTACTCTGTTGCATGTCGCATTGTGGTTGGGGAAGCCAAGGCAGCGTAGGGGACAATGGCCTGCGAGACGGCTTTGTGTCAGTCCTATTCTAAGCGCCTTTAATTTTTCCACTCGTATTTCATCCGTGGGTGGAATAAAACGTGGCACACCAAAGCTCTTTCCGCGTAAGGCAGGGACCTCTTTTTTTTTTTTTTTACCAAATATAAGAATAAGAGAATAATAAGAGAGTAGTAAAATATTCTAGGATATTTAGCTTGATATTGTATTCAGTACTAGGTGATTCATTGTGATATTGTGTTGAAATTCATTGTTGAAGTATCTCGATGTGCCATGCCAGTCGCTTGTCTAGCTATCTACATTACATTTGCCGACGAGCGCCCGTTTTTGTCTAGAAGTAAACTGGGTTGTTACCCTGGAGATTGACCATATTTCTCAAGTCCTGGAAGAATAATTCCAAGTCTGTGCAAGCCTGATGATTCCTTGGCAGACCTTCGGGACCACCCGCTGTCCAGAAATCAAGTGATAGTGCCTTGGTCGTATCAATTTGTCCTGTAGCCTGGTTGAGGTAAGGGGTCCCTGCAATCAACCCGGGGGGCATTCTGAAGCGAGGATCAAGGGGCCACTCTCCTGCACCGTCCTTCAACACCGTGCATGACGGTGCATCGACAACAGATGCTGAGCCATTCCAATATAGCTTGAGATACTTCAGTCCGACACCGATAATGACAAAGAGGTCCCGATTCGGATGGGCAACGTGAAGTCTCCGCCCGGTCTGGAGCAGGGCATCCTTCCATTCGAAAGGAACATCTCTGTTGGGTTCCCTGTACCCCACCCAAAGATAGTCTCTCTCGATATCAAGAGCAAGTATACCGGAAGGGCCAGGGGGCAGGCCGCTCATAGTTCCACTCATGGCTACTTTAACTGCAATGATATCTAGCCTCTTACTGGAGACCCTCTTCTCTACACCGCGAGAGGGCTTTTGCTTCCATTTGAATGGAAGGCCACTCCCAGGGAAGTAATGATGAAGCATATCATCCCAGGTGTGGCGAACGGCATCTTCTCGGGGAGAGTTGGGACCGAAACTGGCCAGCTTGACAACGTCCGAATAAGTTGCAGTAATGGGCTCCCAGTAGTGCACGAATCCGGGGACACCAAATCTAGATCGATCGATTAAGTAAAATTGACCAACAAGAGATTTTATTATCAACTCACAGTGGTGGTTGTGCCATTTTTTTGAGGTGGAAAAAGCTTATTGCGCGAGTGGAAGAGCTTGTCGTGCGAGTGGAAGAGCTTGTCGTTCGAGTAGAAAGAGCTTATTGTGCGAATAGGAAAAGCTTGTCATACGAGTAGAAAGAAGTTATTGTGCGGGCAGAAAGAATTTGTTGTGCAGGTGGAAGAACTTTATTGTGTGAGGATAAAGAGCTTGTTGTGTGATTAGGTACCTAGGAAGCCTAAGCGGAAAACCTAGCCGCCAGCGAAGGCTCTTCACTGGAAGAGGGGCTGTTAATTGGTAGAGCCAGAACGTTATGTGCCCTATAAACCAAGAAGCCTGAGTTTGGTTAAAAGAGGCTTCGATTGACTACCTTGTGACGATATATTTGTATCTGTAGTCAAGCCTATAAGCTATAAGTTTATCAAAGCTGGGATCTGAGCGTGACCTTGTGGATGTGATTTTCCATTCGTGTATTTAAATCATAATCATTATTAATTGACCAATTTGCTCGAATTCGACTCAGTACCACCAACTCGTCGACCAGGTATCATTCTGTTAATTTATTTTGAAGTTTATTTCTCGAGTACCGACAAGGAAAAGCTGGGGCACTCCCCACCACCCACAAAACCCACGGCAGTCCACAGGGCTGAGATCACCCAAACCTACCAACATTCATCATCATCTCTTTTCGCACCACTCGGCCCCGCGATCACCATCCCACCACCAGAGCCGTCATCCCAAATCATCCCCCCACGTCATACACTGTCAAGATGGCAGACAAGACTACGAATACTGCCTCACGCAGCGACAGCGATGCCTTTAAACATCTCAACCCGTTGAACCGCCCGGCCAATGGCTACTGTGGGGAGAATCCGCAGGTCCCTGGCAGCGTGCCTCCCGGTGCCCAGCCAATCCCCCCCGAAACTCTCAAGGATATCTTCGCCAACGGTAGTGAGTTCCTCAAGGCTTACGCCCGCGCACACCATAAAACAATCAATGGAATTGTCGACTAGCGTCTTTTGCCACTCGACTTTGGAATCGGGAGGGCATCAGCTTTTCGAGCCAAGCGGGATAAGCTCTGTCGTTACGCGTGAGAAGTTGGGCTCGGAATAAATTGCCAGGCATGTTGGCTGGTTGCTTTCATGAAGAGGGGCTTGTTGGCAAGTTTCGTTTCATCAAGGGTCGAGAAACTTGATTCGTTGAAACCTTCCCACTCGTAAGACTCTCCGTTGATGCTCATTCTAGGCCAGATGATAACAAGTAAATAACAGGACATGCTCTAGCGATGAGAAGAGGCACCGTCTTCGTTAACGAAAGTCACTACTGTGCTCCCTGTCACCTCCGAGTTGATACCTTTATTCTCCCTCTTAGTTTTAGGCAGTCTTTCAATGTTATTTCCAAGTCTGCATACCGGCAACCATGTCCTCTTCTTCCTAGAGAGCCATTTCATCATGTCGACGTTATCTGGGAGCAAGAAATACTCTCCCACTGATGCCGCATGCCCGACATTCCCTTGTGACGTTCCGGTAGTGATCTATCCAACTTCGATGATCTTGATTTGGCCAAGTTGATCGGAGCTTGGGATCAACACCTTCGGGCTATGTACACAAAGGCGGATTTCTATCTTGTCGCTTCTCTCTAATGGTTGAACTGACTGTGCGTAATCAACTTGACATCACAATAGTCGGCAAGAAACCTGACGTCCAATTCAATCACCATGATCATCAGTAGTGTAGGGTAACGTTGGTAATGATTCTGACTGCGTATCTCTCGTATTGGCTATGGCCCTAACAGGATGCAGGGGTTATGAACTTGCTCTGTTAGTTCAATTCGAACAACTTTCCCCTCAACTTGCGACACTAGACGATTTCAATGAGCACTTCGTCAAATATCATGTTTCGCTATGAACCTCTTGACCCCAAAGCGGACTCACTGCGCGTTCTCACGCTGCTGCCACGTTGCCAAGGACCAGTCACTTGCACACTAGAGAACAGGACCTTCCGGAGCAAACCCGAATTTGAGGCTCTCTCCTATACCTGGGGTACAAAGCCTGAATCAACACACATAACTATTAACGGGGAGCCCTTTCCCGTGCGCGAGAACCTCTATAATGCGCTACAGAGTCTCCAGACTGACAAGCCCCGTGCGCTGTGGGTGGACGCCGTCTGCATCAACCAGACGGACATGGCAGAGCGCAACGCCCAGGTCAGTCTGACGGCCTTCATTTATACCCGCGCGCAGAGGGTGGTCGCCTGGCTTGGACCTTGGGCCAAGACGGTGCAGAACGACTATTTCTCGGACCAGAACTGGCACGTCTTCTCCCATAACTCGTACTGGAGACGCTTGTGGATCATCCAGGAGTTGGTGTTGGCGCCAGAGGTGCGGTTTTACCTGGGACGGTACGAGTTCGGATGGGACATGGTGACGAGCACTCAAAACCCCGAATGGCGAGCTTTGGAGGGCCGGAGCGAGGCCATACATCGGTTTCGAGAGAAGCGGTACACGAGCGCGCAGCGTCTGGAGAACCTCATTGAGGTATTTAAAAAGGCAGAGTGCACTGAAAAGCGGGATAAGATCTATGGGCTGTTTGGAATGGTGCTTGATGGTTCGGATTCGGCTATCAAGGTTGACTATGGAATTGGATTCGCCCAGCTCTATGCCCAGGTGATTAAATTCCATCAAACCTCGGACGCGCCGCGCGACAGCCCTTTCCCAAATGAAGTCGATCGAGCTGCCAAGCTCATAAGGTTCAGCCAGCTTCTTCAAAATGTCTTCGAGGGTGAAGTGGCCAAGGAAGTGAATATCTCTCTCGATGCAACGTGGTTAGGATTATTCTACACGGCACGAGCTTATATTGCCGGAGAGATCCTCAAAATTGGACCGACTCCCTCAGAGGTGGCATCATCTATTAGAGCGGACAAATCTTGGAGGCTCTCATTCTCTCGTGTGTTCAAAGAGCTAGATGAGCAGCAGAAAGCTCGGAGGGACTACGAAGCCTTTTCTAAGAAGATGCTTGACTGGAGCGAGAGCTACTTGGCAGGGATTCAGAAACTTGACTCGCACTCATCTTATGGCTTTCAATTTGTTGATCCTGGGCCGAATCCCTCAGATGAGCAGGACAATACGAATGCTAAGAAAAAAGTGGCGGACTCTGAGGCAAGACTTGTGCTTGGAGACGGTGGAATTGTTGGTGTGGTTCCAGGAGATGCGCAAGAGGGGGACTACATTTGCACCTTTCTTGGTTGCAACGTCGCGGTTGTAGTCCGCAAGTTGGAAACAGCAGCGGATAGATTCCTCGTGCTGGGGCCAGCGAGAATCCAACAGGAGGAGAGTCAGTGGCAGGCTGAAGAAGACGACGATATTGAGGGAGCACTTGCGTATGACATGAAGGGTCTGAAGATCAAGAAGGGTAGTTCTTCACCCTTCTTGTCCGATGCTGGCATCAATCTAAGGCTTGATCTACGAAGTCTCCAGAAGTTGACTTCAAATTCTTGAGGTGATCATCGAAGTAATATATATTTAGACAGTTATATGATACTGGGGTGGAATGTCCTCTACTTGTTATCCTACCTATCTAGAGAAGTTTAAATCTATGCAGTTAGTTTTTGCAAAGTAGGAATATCCAACTTGAAGAAGACTAAAGCCTCATAGGCCAACTCTTTCTGTTTCGCCCAAAACTTATCACCAGTCCTGCTCAGCAACGAGCTGTATGATGTATTTTCAGTCCCGTAATGTAGAGCATCATGATAGACTGATTCGGTGACAGCTGGTGTTAACGACTCCTTTGACATTGTCGCCCTTCCTACAATCATCCACCTGTCTTCCGAAACTTCGCGGATCACAACTCCAAAGCAAGCCTCCCAGAAAGAGCATATTTGATCGCCCTCCTTTGCACCTGGGGGCAGAAAACCCATCAGCCCTTTAGTCCCAAGAAATCTTCTGGGCTGAGTGTCTTCATCATCGCTGTCTAAAGCCTCCCGAGTGATGTGCTCATCGCCTTGACTTTCGCGGTACCCATAACTTCTAGTTGTGTCACAGCTCTGGATAGCAGCAACCTCATTATGATCCCATTTCAACATCTCTTGGTAAAAGGCCGCATCATTTTCCCTCCATTTAGCAAGATCTTTATCCTTTTTGTATGTGGATTCTAAGAGTGCCTTCCATTTTTTGTTTGCCTCCCAGGAGGAAACGTAGTCATCATATGTCCCTCCGATGCTCAATACTTTGCCGACAATGACACCCCTAGCGACAATTGGATCGCCAAGTGATAGAGACTTTGGAATTTGAGTTTGATTAACGGCACTATTAAGTGTCTTTTGCACCAGATTGCTGAAAGCAACAATTCGCACTGAGCGCTCTATGCTGACATCGAATCCCTGCCAATTTTCTCTCCATGGCTCAGGGCTATATGTGCTCGAGCGGAAGAGATTAGACCGGCATTGCAAAGGGGTAGCAGATTGATGATAATCAATAAGGTTTGCGTACAGCTCATAATAGTTCACGGCATAATCGGCTTCGATTAATTCTTGAGCGGTATCATCGGCAACTCCCAACAATGAGAAGATTTTGTCGCGGGTATCCTCGCACTCAAGCTCCTTGAACATCTCTAACAGCACTTCCAATTGTTGCAAGTGAGAGTGCATATACTTCCGATGGTTTTCGATCCTTTCAAGGTGATCATCTAGCCAGGTACTATTGGAGGCGTTGGAGAGACTATTGAAGCGGTTGTCGAGGGTGAAATAGCCTTTCCCGAGGTGGAAGCGAATCTCTTTGGCCTGGATGATCTCCTGTATGGTCCAGCGACGCGTCCAATAAATACTCTCGGAGATGAGTTGACAGTTTCTCTCGCTAAAGTAGTGGTAACTCTCGCCCATTTCTTTCATATCGGTTTTGGAGAAAGCAGAATGAGACGGGCCGAGATATGCGAGGACTCTTGTGGCCCTCGAGTAGATGTAGGACATCATGCTGACATGATCATTGCGCTCTTTGGTGTCCTCCATGTTGATACAGAGGGCATCAGCCCACAGCGACCGGCCTTTGCCGGTTTGGAGTGAGCGGAGAGCATCATGAAGTCTGGGTCGGATGAGAACTTTTTGGCCATTGATGAAGATTGTGTCGGTCGCTTGGTTAGGACCCCAAGCGTGAGACAGAGCTTCATATTTCGGCTTGCTGGCTAAGGTTTTGTTCTCGAGTTTGCAAAAGAGTTCCTTGCTGTCTGGATTGTCAACTCTTGGTAGAAGAGTGAGAATGCGGATGGAGTCAACCTTGGGGTCGAGAGGCTCCAAATGTGCCATGATGAGAGACTTGTTGAGTTCGTAAAGTGAGAGATTTGATTACGGGAAATATGAGAATGTAGCCACGAAACACGTTAACTTCACGCTAGCATGTTGAGGAAAAGACCGATCAGCTTTCAGCTGGTTCCTGAAGCTGCAGGGGTCTGCCCCGCTTACCAACCACTCATCGTATTCATCGTAATGTCCTTTGGAGGAACTAGACATGGGCAATCGTCCTTAAGACTAATTCTTCGGTGTGGGGGCTGTTGAGCTTCCTTCACTTATGACACATGGGACTGTTGAGAGCGGCCATTGTTATAAAGGCTATGACTACGTGGAGGAGTTAAACTGATATGGGAGACTCCCCGATGATGCTTAAGAACCAAACATTTGCATGGCACATGATATATCCGAGTTGAGAGTTCTCATATGCTATTTAACAATATTCAAAACAATATTTAAATACGTGAGAATAACATTGAGCCATATTCGAAGGAAAAACTTCATAACTGACCGTTTTCGTATATTCTAGAATGAAAAATTTAGCCATCATCTTGCATTTACTCGAGAACTCAACTGGCTTGGCCATAACCATAGAAAGTTGCCTGCTCTCACTCTTACTTTCAACTCGTGTTCTGACTCCCCTAGACAGCTTGAGGACGTTTCCGTATTGTCATCCACATGTCTCTAAAGAATGCAATGCCACCCGGAGCCACATAGCGCGCAGGCTGCTGTTTGTTCACAATTTCCGGCTGGAAAGTTCTAAGGAACTGTAGAGGTGCTTTGTACAGCTCCATCATGGCAATGTCCTTGCCAAGACACACCCTCTGCCCGTACCCAAATGTCAAGCTGTACTTCTGGTATTCCCTAGCTTGGTCCGTATCCAGCCAGCGCTCGGGTCTGAAGACATTGGCGTCGGGACCATAAAGGTTGGCGTCACGGTTCATTAGCCACGCGCTGCCTGCGATCTCCATCCCCTCGGGCACAAAGCGTCCGAAGAGTTCCATGCCGCCTTTGGGGACCGTGCGGGGGATGACAGTGACGGCTGGGGGGTTCAAGCGTAGGCTTTCTTTTATGCAGGCCATGTAGTACGGGCAATTTGCGACGACCTCGTCATATTGAGGGGTGAAGGACAGCTTGTTGTTTCGAGTGACTGCATCGATCTCTGCCATCAACTTTTCGTACACTTCTGGATTGGAGAATAAATGGAGCATTAGGGCTTGGAAAGATGTCCCTGTCGTGTCTGAACCGGCAAGAAGGACAAGCAGGATCTCGGCCTTGATGTAGTTGAGATCGAGCGGCTTGCCCTCCTCATCGCGAGCGTCAATAAACCTGATTTTTGTTTGTGTCAATTTTTAACGCCAATCTGACATGATAATGCGACCGTAGCTTACGTTTGCAAGAGGTCCGTTCTGCCATCATAGGCCCCCGATTCAAGATCTTCCAACCTTTGTTCAATAAGGCGATCTCGGAACCTCATCATTGTCCCGATCCCAGAGTTCTGTTCCGGGGTTGCGACCATGTACTTGCCCAAGAACGTGCTTTTCACCCAGTTCACAAGCGGGTGAAGGCGCGCCATGAGGCCAAATACCACCATCCCATCGTGGAACGCTCTGATCAGGCCTTCAATGTCGTCTCCTTGCTCGATGAAGCCTACTGGAGCGCCGAATCCCACTGAGGAGATGACGTCGTAGGCCATATACACAGCCCACGGAGCAAAATCGAACGTTTCCTGGGTTCCAGCGAATTTCTCCTCTAGTTTCGCGATCCAGCGCTGGACTTGCTCGTCGATCAAGGGCTCCATCTTCCTAACGTTGCTGAAGCTATAGGGGGCCGCGATGATCTTGCGGAACTTGGCGTGGACGCTTGAATCCTGCATGTTAAATACAGATTCATCCTCGCCAAAGCTCCCTGTAATATAGTGTTTCGACTTGTTTGCATGGCGGGCGTATATGATCGGAAGCTTGGTCGAGTCGTTGACTAGGAGCATCGTAGGGGTTATACGAATTACAGGACCTGGAGACGGTTCTACGTGTTAGATGAAGTCTTTTATACATAAACATAGTTGCACATACCATGTTTCCTATGCAGTCGATCGAAGACCTCGCACTCGTCCTGCTTGATACTATGCCATGCAATCCAAATTCTTGTCACGCTACCCCAGAACGATCCAGGGAAGACGGAAAGAGGGCGGAAAAACCTGTAGTAAATAACTTGATAAGCGATACTCCATAGGAGATAGGCTATCGGAAGAACGCAGAGGTTTCCAAGTGTCAGGACCGCCATGGTGAAAGAATGTGCCAGTTATGCTTGCCTCCAAGATAGACGACTACACATATGGGATGTAAGGTGGGTGTTTACAATGACGAAACTTGGGACATTAGATAGCGAATAGCGGCTAGGTTATTCGTCACAAGAGTTCGATTGGTCAGAAGATAACGAGGGGTAAAGTTTGACGTCGTTTTGACGTAGCCATTTCCAGTTCCCAGGAGCCGGGTGCTGGCAAGTTTGAGGCATTTCAGCCTGAATGTATATCTATAGGACTTTGGGTAGCATGCACCCACCTTGAGAGCGATTGCTTGTAGGTAGGCGCCTGTAAGTGGATGACTTAGACATGGGTATGATGTACTAGAACAGACTTTGGTTACGGCAGCTTCGAGTTTCTAAGAATGGGGTTGTTTTGGAACAACATATCTTTGAGCAAATCTACACAAAGGGCTACGTTTGCTATGAAACTATTCAATTTTTAGGCTTCACATGACTCATTGTCAGTCTTGAGGTTTTTTTTTCCCGAAAAATCCAAGGCATGATTTCAAAAAGGGACACTTGAAACATAGACAATGAGGAAACGGCGAGAAAGTTAAAGGATAATAGATGAAAAGTCCTGGTCTTGGACAAAAAATTCAATTTTGTACGCTAGATACCCAGCTCTAGCAAGCAATTCCCTAAGGATATCGCAGCCTTGCTAGTTTATTTGTTAAGAGGAACTACCGGGAGAATCTCCACCAACATGGTTTGTATTCATATTGGGCTCCATTAGCTTAGACAGCATTTGATTCGGAACTCTCACCGTTTGATCCGGAGCCCTCGCTAGGTGATTGTGAGTCCGAAGAAATTTCCCAGGAAAGGAGGCTTTGTTCAATGTGGTACAGCACACAAGCAATATATTCATCGATGCCCGGAGGAATCATCTCTTGATCCTGCATAAGACGAAGAATGTCCGCTACTCCGTCCCGGAGTACCTTAGTTGTCTCCTTGGTTGTGGTGTTGTTCGATTCAGTCAGATCAGCGAAAGAAAGGTCGGGAGGGCCTTCCACTGCACGTATGAAACCCCGGAGGTAGGCAAATACGTGGTTTTGCATGCATCTTCCCTCCAACTTAGACGGATCCCGCTCATATGGCTGTTGCCACAAGATGTGATCATCGAATAGGTCCCTGAATGCGTTCTCAAGGTCTTTAACAGCCTGTAAGAGCGCCCTTAGCTCCATGTTAACCCGGGTATGTTCAGAATTCATTTTTGCTTCTGCGATTGTTGAAAGATATATTGGTATTAATAAAGCGAGAAGAGGTTTCAAGTAGCTTCCGAAGCCTGCAATTTTCTTGAGAGTGTTGAGCTGTAGAACTGGTCTGGCAATAAGACTCGGAGATGCCAGCCACCTTAAATAAGAATTCAAGGCGGATGAAGTTCTCGGGAGAGATTGTGCTCGCATGTTCAAAAACTATTAAATTGGGTCAGTTACACTGTTTCTTTCACTCGATAATAACTCCAAAACACTATGTTGTTAAGGAATGTTCTCTTCCCAGTTTCATATGGGTGGATAACAAAGACGGGGTGTTTCGAATTACCTGGAAGTGAAATGATGAGAATGAAAATCTTTTCTTTAGTTGAAGACTCATTCTAACGTTTCTCTTTACAGCAGTACCTCAACACCGAGTAAAAATGCTTCGAATTAAAACTTTGAGCCAGGTCGGGTATAATATCTCTTTCGCGATATCATGCTTTGTCACTGAGGTATTACGGAACTGGAAGCATAGGATTAACTAATTTTTGAAGCTATGGAACATCTTTGGCTGTACCTCAAAGAGGCCGAACCTATAGAGTTGTAAAAGACACTTCACTAACTAATGCAAAGTTTCATGGGATTTGGGAACGTGTTACTCTTTCTTATTGAAAGCGAAATGGTGGACGGGGTGTATTTGTTACACAGGTCATATTAGACCTAGCTAATTAACTGAGTTTCAGAGAATACGAAATAAACCTCAAGCTATTCTACGTTCACATCCTCTTTGGATCAATGAGGGCCATTATCTCGTTGAATCCCTTGCGGTTGAGACGACCAAACGCCTTTACACATCTCCAGAGTTGTTTCGGCGTCCAGGTAACCACATATAGAATCCCCTGCGCTATATACCACAACACCTTTCCTAATACGCCAAACAAGGCTGCCAGCACCTTATAACTCATCTCCCCAAAGGTGCCGAGGAACTTGATGAGAGCCAGTGGGGCCTCGACAAATATGGCTTTGACAAGGTAGCATATGGCGTCCCAAACGTCCTTGGGTGTGATTCCACGAAAGAATGATAAGACGGATGAAACAGCCGTATGTATCAGTGACGCACAAAGCGCGAATATGTGAAGGACAGCCTTGCCCGCAGTCTTGAGACCGCGACCGATCCAGAGCAGGACGCTCTTCACGACACCCGGAATGGCCTTGAGAAACTTGAGTGCCGCCCGCGCGAGCCTCCTCACGAACTCAGGCGTCCTCTTGAGGGCCTTCAGAACCTCGCGCAGGAACTTCAGGATACGGCCAGGGAGCTTGACAACGCCCCTCGCGGCCCGCTTGCACCAGGCCGCGAACCGGTGCCGCCGCCGCCAGGCCGACTGGCAGATATGCTTCGGCGCCTTGTAGAACAGGGCGACGGGGACGCGCCACACGAAGAACTCGATGACATGCCCGAACTTCTTGAATATGGAGACGACAACCTCCCACTCGCCCCTTGCGATGCTCTTGCACCGCAGCCGGATATCGCCCCGGCGGGCGGGGAGGTACTCCACGATCTCGCGATGGCCGTTCTTGGCGGCCAGGCGGAGCGCGATGTACCCGTCCGGGGCGACGAGGCTCTCGTCGGCGCCGTAGTCCTCCACCAGCACCTTGACGAGCGCGAGGCGGCCCTGCTGCGCGGCGAGCTGGAGGGGAGTTCTGCGCAGCCTCCTATGACGTTTGCTAGAGTCGACGGAGCAAGGGGTGCCGTACGCGTTGACGGTGGCGCCCAGGGCGACGAGCGTGCTGACCATGGGGGTGTTGCCGGCGCATACGGCTGCGAGGAGGGGCGTCTCGCCGGCCGAGTTGGTGACGTCTGGGGAGACTAGGCCGCGGGAGATGAGTTGGGAGACGAGGTCATTGTGGCCGGATCTGATGGCTGTGAAGAAGGCGAGGACGATGTCTCGTTCGAGCTCGCGGGCGTCTAGATTGGCTGCATCGTCTGCCTGTTCGGTTTTGAGGGCTGGGTTGTGCGGCCTTGAGTAGTCCAAGGTTGGTGTCCGTAAGATGGGCAGCTTTAGGCCGGATGTACTTTCGATTCTTGCCTCGAGATCATCCTGTGCGGTTACTGTGTAGGCTGGTAACGGCTGTATGGATGATATCTCGGGTAGAGGAGGACTCTCCAAAGTGGAGGGAGGTGTTGGCAGAGTCATTTTGGTGGAGTCCAGCCTGTCACGATACAATCTCTTGTCTGCTTATGACGTGGGAAGTAAAGAGATGCTAGACTGAGTGGACTGATGATTGATTGACCTTGAGATGTTTGGTTTGATGCAGACCAGTTGGAGAGAGCCCGGATGGTGCATCTTTACATTTATATTCACATGTCTGGATGGACGGGATGCGGCAGGCTCAAGTTGCAGCTTCGGCTTGCTCAGCCTCGATTTTGGCATGATTCTTTTGCTGGGCTGCTCAACAAATCTTGCAAATGAGCAACACCTCAGTTTCAGGCTTTCAGCTCGTCTTGGCGGAGTCGAACAACAGGCAGATTTCAGCGGGCACTGCTGCTGAGCTTAGGCTCTTCGGGGATAGCTCGCCTGTTGATCAGGAACTTTGACCCCTGTAGCATCAACTAGATACATAGCGCTGGACGCTTAACCGAGGTCTGGTATCTATAATATTAGCATGCTGGCTCATGTAGAGGCTGTGTGTGGATCTTGCAGGCAGCCCACAAGGATGCCTTTCTGGATGGTAGATAGGAAGGCTTGCTAAGCTAAATGTAGTCATTTGCGTATCTCATATGCCTTGGCGCCTTGTAGAGCATCATGTAGTACCGTCCGAGTAGCTATTACCGCCGGTATCTATCAACAGCAACCATGAACCAGCAATTTGATAACCGACTGGAGTAATCCTGCATTAATCTGTCTCCCGAATCACGCCCAGGATTCCGAGCGTTCCGAGGGTTGCACCCTGAGGCAAGAGCGCTATACCAGGTAAACTTGCCTACTTTCGTTGATTGCTCGAAAGTGTTCTATACAATCATATATGGCCAGTGGTCACAAGGCGAGTAATTGCGAACAGATTGAAGCGAGGGCTCCATCACTATATATAGAGAACACCTCCTATTAAAATTAATATAAAGAACTTACTTTATAATCTCTTAAGCTAGTAGAATCTTTTATTGAAAAGGTAGCTTTAACTAAGCACTATGCTAATAGGGTTTATAGAAGTTGATAAGTGTTAGTATAAGATAATACTGACCCTGAAACTATAGAATCTGAAGGCCTTCCTCAACTCCTCATACAAGAGGCGTCTAATGAAGAGTTAGGACAAGATCGCCGAGGAGAGAAAAGCTGGAAAGGCGAGAGGAGGCCGGACGGCAGTCGAATTTGTGCCATTAACTACAACAGTACAATAGCATCCCTGTGTGATTGTCTAGCATGTACTTCGAGACACTGCCGTATAGGACTCCTTTACTCTAGTTGTTAAGGACTTCCGAGATGACCTCTGTCGCGTTGAGAACCTCCTCATCCTCAAACCTCCACCCGACTACCTGCACATGTGCAGGTGCGCCATCAACTGCTTCAGCGTCATCTATCCAGCCAAGTTAGCGCCAGATATGTGAAAACCGGGGATCAGTATTTGGGTGCACGAACATCCTTCAATATTGTCCGTATCAATCGACTTGTCAGCCTTGAGAAAGGGGATAATGCTTGCAGGGAACTACGTCGAGTGGATCGGTCAGTAACTGCCCGTGTTCAAGGGGGTGAAAAGTCTTTGAGCTTACGTCCAACAGGTTCCACGGGATTGAATAGATCGGCATGCCAAAGTTTCCGTGGGGGACAGCAGTCCCTCGCGCGCCGGGGGTAAGGAGAACATCGAGCTCGTTTTCGCGCCAGATCTTGGCCGACTCCTCGAGAATATCCTCGCGCTCGGCAGTGAACTGCCATACACTCTCAAGGGAAATGTCGTCCGCGCCTGAGTGCATTTGCGCGATCAGGTCACTTACAGCCTTGATGGGCTCCTCTCCCGCCTCGGCCAGCCAGCCACCAAATCGACCGCTTTGATCAAGAGCAAACGAACGCGCGGCAGTGGTGAGGATGGCTATTAATGGAGGACAAGTAAGGCGTTTCACTGTGTGGCCAGCAGCCTTAAGCTTGTCCACGGCCGTGCTAAGGGCGCGTGCAATGGGAGGGAAGACGGGAAAAAGTTCGTCTCCAGGGAAGAAGCCAACCACCAGTCTGTCCTTCTTGGGAACGCTGCGCCATGGAATGTGGTATGCAGTCGCATCGTGCAGCCATGGTCGCGCCTCAATCACGGTCCTAGTGAAGAGCGTCAGGTCCTCGGCGCTTGAGGCCAAAGGGCCCGCCGCGGGCATGATGCCGGGCCACCCCTTGCGAAGGATTTCCTGTTGCCCGCCATAGGGAAGGCGGTTGGATGACGGCTTGAAGCCGTAGGTACCGTTGGCAAGTGCTGGCACTCGAGCCGACCCGCCAATATCGCTGCCGACGCCGAGGACAGAACCTCGAAAGGCTACAAGGACACCCTCCCCCGAAGTGCTTCCCCCAGCCGACAGGGACAGACGATGCGGGTTCAGCGTTGTGCCAAAGATGGAGTTGAACGACTCACACACCTGTCCGGGTACGGGTCAGTCTAGATTGTAAGATGTGCTATCTCAATAAGAGGCTTACGAAAAGTGTCTGTGGTACGGTTGTTTTCACGTATAGCACTGCGCCGGCTTCGAGAAGAATGTCAACGATGGCAGAGTTAGACGTAGCTGTGGGAAGCTTGAGCTTAGACACATAGCTAATGGTGGCGTATTCGCCTTCTACCATGTATGTGTCCTGCAAGCAAAGACGGGTCAGTTGTGTCTCCAGATGGTTGGTTTGGGCGCTGGCTGATATACCTTGATACTAATAGGCAGACCGTGTAGCGGACCTTTAGGTACCCCTTCTTTGGCCAAGTACTCATCTAGTTGGCGTGCTCGCTCAAAGGCCTTCTCAAAGAATATCTCCGTGAGGCAATTTGTCTTTTTAGCAAAGCTCTCGTTAGCAAATTATGCCTTTAGAGGATACTAAGATATCTTACCAATTGCTGAGCGACAGCGGAGCGTTTGCAAAACGCGGTGGTAACCTCTAAAGAAGTCAAGTTGCCCGCAGCCATGGACTTGACGAGTGCAGCAGCGGTATAGTTTTCAGTAATGTCCAGCTCCTCCTTGGTGAGGATTTGGTGCTCGAGCATGAGATCAAAGGCGCTGGCGTTGCTGCTCGGGGACACCTTGTCAGTTATGGCTTTAGGGAGGCGCCATTCTGGGGGAATGAGAGATGCTTGTTTTGCCCGCTTCTGGTCGACGAGTTGCTGATATTCAGGGAAGATGGCCATGATGAATTGAGTGTTTATAGCGAGGAACTAGAGAGAATACTCCAGGTATTACTGATGTTGTTACTGCGATGGCTCTGATGTACACGATACTAGTGGTATTTGGAAAGGGTTGGTGGGTGGAAGACGAGCTTTATAGTAGTTGAGAGCGGGTTCTGCCTACTTTTTTTTTTTTTTAACTTGGCCTTATGATTCGAGGCCCCTTTCCACAGAATTTTAAGTCGGTGACTTTGGTAAACATGGATGCATATGCTGATACTCACAACTTGGTCCGCGGGCAGGGCGATGCAAAGCGTCGTGAGCTTCACCCTAGGGAGCGCTATTCCATACCATTGGCTTACTCTAGTGGGCCCGCCATATCATGTCTTGATCAGCAATAACCGCTGTCGTGAATCAGTCATTAGCAGGGCATGCGCCTATCATGTGGAATAACGCAGCTCCTTTGAGGTCCGCTTCATCTGTAAATATCAGGGACCCTTGACCCCAGGATGGGGAATAACGCTCCAGTGGGGGGGAATTACGACACTGGGGCCATATGTAATGAACCAATAGCAGAGAATTGCGCCACCTCGGAGGTAGGATGACAGCAGCTATTCCATGGATGGCCGGCATCTAGGAAACAGGCAGCTCCAGTAACCTGCAAGTATGAACAGTGTCGATTTATAAACTAACCCAGTCCTAACCAAGTGGTGAATTACGATTTTAAGCGGCTGGGGCAATGAAGTAAAAATAGCATTATAACAATAGGTTCCGTGGCAGGTCATGTTAACAATACGTTGAGGTTTCCGAGTTATTACAAGAAGGGGCGTTAGGTAAGGGCCATGTTAGGGTTATCGCAGGAAATTTGGTACCAACCCTAGAATTTACAACCTATAGCAATATACGAGAAATAGTGAGATATCCACAATTACGTACCGATATTATCGACATCAAGGCTTTGTAAAATTTGGTGAGAAAATGGCTGTAGCACGAGGTATTATCGGTACAAAGAGGACATCGTTAAGACGTAGAATCGTCATAACCCTGGCTTACTATACTAAGCGTTTCCAGGATTGGACAAGCCCATGGTCCGCTATAGTGTTTTACAAGTCAGGCGAGAGCTATGTAAGATAACAACCTCGTCTCCGGAGCTCGGCTAAAGTTAGATTCTGGTCTGAGATTCATTCCATGGAAGCGGCGCCAAGCCCCCCAGCGGAGTCCTTTCTTGTCCGCCAGAGTGCCTCAAGCTCGCTGCGGACCATACGGGCTTCGCCCATGCCCGTGACGTGACCCCGGCGGTCGAGGTCCTCCCTGATGAGTGCAATGTCCCCCTCGGCGTCGACCGCGTAGCCAAGGATTTGCAGTGGCCACATGCCGAGGTAGCACCTCGTCCACTTATCCTTATACACCATGCGTTTGAGGACGTCAATGGCGCGCCGGAGCTGCCAGCTCTCGCCGTAAGGGATGTTAAAGGGATGGGCCTCCTGGCTGGGCGCGGCGTCGACGATCCAGTCAAGCATGAGTGAGGCGGCAAGGACGTACTCCACGACGAGCGCATTGTATATCCCCATGGCATGTGTATTCTCGAACTGGGTCTCCTCAATGGAAGCCTCCCAGTAGGCCATCTCTTGCTTCGTTGCCGTCAGTGTGGCGGCGTCTCCACGGAGCGGACTGCGATTCAGCTGCACTATAGTTAGAATCAGCCGACACAGCGGGATGAGAACTCCCAGAATAGGGCGATTGGCCGTGGAAAAGTCTGCGCTGCACGTGGCGCCTCCCAGCACCGACTCCATTGAGGCCCAGAACTCTGTGTCTACGAAAGCGTTGGGGAAGAACGGGTGGCGCGCTGTGAGCAGGAAGTGTTGACAAAGCACGCTCTCTATTATGACGCGGTCAATAGGTCGGAGCGGAAATGGGTCTGTGGTTTGGCAGTATCGCATCTTGAGCAATTGAGTCGCGCCTCGGACGTGATGGCACCTATCTTCGTTTGAGCGTATGTCTGCTGCTGTCCAGGTCTGAGACCCGGGATACGATAGACAAGATCAGCAACGGCATGTACCGGTATTATCACCCACCAGTAGTAAGGTATTCTTACCCCGTATATGTAGAGTAGTATAATGGATATAACGAGTGCATCGAAGCTGTCATTGTATGTACCAAGAGCGTTATACTCCCCGTGGGCGCCTAATTCGCCGCGCAACGTCCGAGAGACTGCGGCCACAGCGTCTGAATAGTAATGAAACGGCGTCTTCGGCGTGCTGACATAGTTGGACATGGCTCGCATGTGCATGGCGCCGCAAGCGAGCATAGTGGCCTCTAAATGTCTATAGGTAGATGACAGCGAAAAGGCACGCACGAGGACGTCGTTATGGAAGCACGGGTCTGCTATTGATAAGAAGAGCAGCGGCAGAAACGAAGAAGTGAAGTGATTCAGTACCGCTGTTTCAACGACAACGACATTCGTTGCCCCGCTGAGCCGGCTGAGCTCGAATTTCTGCGATGGGTGGCACACTCGTACTGTGCCCATGGAGCTACTGTCCATCCTAGCATTACTACCAGACTTTGGCCTCGGGTCATTGGTAGTCGACAGCGGATAGCACCTCCGGGCGCGGTGTCTCCTGTCAACATGCTGCTCGGCCGACGGCCATACGCAGTCGAGTCCCGTCTTAGCGCATCTCAGGCAGCGCGGCCGGTTTTCGTCGCATTTCTTTCGGCGTGCTCTGCCTGCGTGGGTATCAGAATGCGTGCCACAAGGGACGTGGGAGGTAAATTAGTCCATGTCAAGTGTGGGAAGAAAGAAACACATACAGCCCAAACAGCCCGTCTTCGTGCGGACCTTGGCAACGGACGTCGGTGGTTTATAGTGAGGTAGTGTCTTCATAGTGAACTGGAAGATGAAATGCTCTCCGTCAGGGTACTGGCTCACGATATAATTCAATCTGACTAGTACACCGATTTTTTGGAGGGGGGGCAAAGGAGATCTAGGAAGGGTGGGCTTTGTGAGTGGGACACTGTTTATATTGGAGATGTTCAAGCTGTGGCTGACACCGCTAGATCTGACACATCAAGTAAGCCCTTCCAATGAAGGAATTTCAAAGACATAAAAATATATATATATTCCTGTAAGGGTCTGATTCAGGAGCCTGGAAATATGAATCTGAAATTCAAGATTTGTATAAAAACAGAAACTATTCCTCTTCTGGCTGCTGTATAACCTCAGTTTCAGGCTTTCAGCTCGTCTTGGCGGAGTCGAACAACAGGCTGCGGAGCTTGGGCTCTTCGGGGATGGCTCGCCTGTTGATCAGGGACTTTAACCCCTGTAGCAGTATCTTGATGGCACTGTAGCCTTTACCGAGGCATGCAGGCAGCCCACGAGGACGTCTTTCTGGATGGTAGATAATAGAAAGAAGGCTTGCTAAGCTAAATGTAGTCATTTGCGTATCTCATTAAGAGGCTCACTAGATCCGGGCATCTCTCCAAGTACCGCCGCATCCCCCGCCCAGTTCTGTCAGTTTACCCTGTTCTCCAACCTCATCGCTTCCCAACATCAAATCTTCCATCATGCGGTCTCTAAATTGCTCACCTCCACCCCAGAGCTATGGCGGATTGAGCATGTAAGGTAATCAAACCACCACACAAGCGTCCCATCCCAGGGGAACATCTCCCAATTGAGCCACGCCTTGCAGTCCGACTTGACCACGCCCACCTCGTGAACCTGGCGCAGGCCATCCGTGTTGCTGAGTCCGAGGAAGAGCCCTGGAGAGCCGGAGGGTATCTCAATCGCATCCTCATCGAGGCAGTCCAGACGGACGTTCCCCACTGCCGTCTCGCAGCCATCTTGGAAGCGGAGTACAAGGCCGGAGACGCGCGACGAGGTGCCGTCGGTGAGTCGGCATGCGGTCACACGTGATACGTTGAGCAGGGAAGTCTCGGAGTGGAGGAGGAACGGCAGAGGGTCCTTCATTTCCCTGCAGAGACTCTGGGACGGCTTGGATTCGCGCTCCGGGTTATTTTCACGCACTGGACCAGCCAGCGAGCGAACGACGCCCCCGGACCAGTCGAGGTATCTCATCCACAGACGGTCTGGGCTGGCTGTCGTGGGCGCCGCGACACAGTGCCAAAGATCGAGGGAGTTGTATCGTAGCTTGTCCGCGCCGTTTGCGCCTATTGTAATCTGGCGATCAAGAGTAGTATCCCACTAGTTCACGAGTAAGTCAAGTGCCTAAAAGTGATTTTGTAAGTCATGGCGAAAGAGTGAGAACTCACAGAAAGGGTGAGTCTGTCATCTCGTCCCCTCTTGCCCCAGATATGCTTGATCTGCTCCCCGGCCTGCAGAGGCATGTAGGTCCAGAACGTCTGGCATGTTTCGGCGTCGGTGTCTTGATAGAAGTCAAGACTCTCCCCAGTCTCGTGAGCATGAAGTCCGACGAGATATATTGGGCTGCTCTTTCCCTTGCGTGCCTTGCAGCTTGCCCGCGACACCCAGCACGCCGAATACCCTACGCAATTAGGCCGGTTTAGAGGTAGGTCTCGCATTTTGAACTGGGATCTCCAAGTCATTTCAATGTCCCAGTCGACCATGATGATTTCAATCTCAGCCGGCACTTCTCCCGGTCTCATCCATCCCATTGTGCTTTTGATGTTGAGAGGCAGTAGGCTTTTCAACTCGTCTTCCTGGATCGGTTCTGGCCATGAACAGCGCTCAAATACCTCGCTGCGGGAGGCTATGACGTGGTTTTCTGCATCGGACAGATAGTGTTGGATAACAGTACCCTAAGCAAAGTGAGAAAGTTGAAGGGAGGAATTGACGTAGTGGATGAAGAAGGAATCGGATGAATCACTTACATCTGAAATAAAGGTGAGCTCGCCATCTATTTCTTTGAGGCAATGATTTCGCCATCGCGTTGGGTCGTCGGGCGGGCTAATGAACGGAGGGGCTGCTACTGAGATGAAGATGTTTCTGATGCCGATATGATCCTCTTTGATGTAGAGCATCTTCCTCTCTCTTTTTTTGAGATCGCCTCGACATAATAAAATCGCACCGGCAGTACGTTTGTTCGACAGCTTAGATAGATAGATTTTGCCGTCAACCTTGGTATACGTCGCCCATATGTCGTAAGATCTGTGCACTGTTGAACTCTTTCGGTGAGTCGACCAGACAAAAGTCGCCGTGCCGTATGACTTGGTGAGATAGCTGGCAATCATTGTCCATATCTCTAGCGGCAGTTTCCTGTTGGGGTCTAAAATCCTGGCAGCATTCCACACCAGCTCATCTTGGATGTGCTTGAACCTCTGGACCTTGTTCTCTCGAACCATCCGTCTGTGCCAGGAGCTGTCTCCCTGAAAGAGCCGGTTGAGGAGCGTTTGAGATACCATGTCCGGTTTCACGCGAGTCAGCGGCTGGATGCCCCCAAACATGCGCTTTGCCGCCGAGAAAACATCGGAGCTCACCACGCGTAGCTTCAGCTCCATGCGGAAATCATCGCGCTGCCTCTTCAGCTTCCGCAGGCCCTGGGCTTCTTGTGCATCTATCAGTTTGGTGGCGAACTCGAGGCAGTCCGAATGGCAGCCGACCACGAGGACAGTGTTGTCTACGGAGGCAAAGGACGTTTCACAGTACAGCCCATTCTCGAGCGCATCATCATAGAGGAAGTCACCGGGCTTGAAGCGATACGGGGCACTCTGGCGGCCCTGCGCGCTGACTATTTATTGGGTGCAGCCATCAGCAGGATGTTGGGAGGGATAGATTTCAAATGGTATGGATCTTCTCTGCGCACCTGCGATAAATTCCTCCCCATCCTCATAGTCGAGGCGACACAGGCGGCAGCGAGGGTAGACGGCGAGGTCGTCGGGGATCCAGTCGTCATTCCACATGCCTCGCCAGCCCCGCCACATCAGGCGCCGCCTGAACTTCATCTGCGTGGACATGAAATGGAACATGGTGCGAGACGGCTTGATGCGACGATGCGTTTGATGGCTAAAGTGCTGCGGTGCCAGGCTTCAGCGACCGTCGCGCCGATGGCATGAGGTGATGTGATGATGAAGGAGGGCAGCTGAGGGGTCGAGCGTAAGGCAGTTTGTTGTTGGATGGAAGGCTCGGATGGCCTCTTATTGGCCGGTGACGAAAGTGCTGGAACTGGCTGCCTCACTGCACCTGCGAAGTGACTGAGATGAGAGAGTCCCTGCCGTTCCATTCGCTGCATTGAACAGGGAATATTCTGCCACTTTAATGCCCATTGTTTTCTTGTTGGCCGGCCAAAGACAATGCGAATACTGCGTCTGTCTGTAGCTGAGTCTTACCGCGCGGCGGCGTTTCAGGTCAGTAACACGCCAGACACGGTATGCTGACTTCTGTGCACAGTGTATTTACTGCTTCGTATTCTCACATCAGACGCTGCTCGTTTCTGCAGGAGCGATTCCAAGACATGCATACGTGCGGGATCTCTATCTTAGGATGGCAGTGGGATGAGTATTGCTTCCACTCATCTGGGAATCGTGAATGGGATCCTCGTCCTTGCCCTTTATGCCAATTGAGTTTTCTCGGTTTATTCCATGGTTATTTTTACGCGACCGCGCGGCTGTTGCTTCCAGACCGAATAATGGCAAATTGTTTCAGAGATACTATCTACTCTCACTCGTGAAAATCCAGAAAATACGTGGCCCTCACACCTAACTCTGTGATTGAAGAAGAGGAAAATGCCTAAATCTGCTCTCCCATTGCACTTACCACACCCTCGCTGCCACAGGTGTGTTTGGAAATGAACGCAGTGTTCACAAGACCATCTTCATGACCTTCTATTTTTCCAAATACATGGCCTTGGCAAGATCCTCAGTCTCATGATCTCATCTACCTTGTGGATAATGAGGAGCTGGCATTTCCGGGGGTCTCGCATACCCCGGCAACTCAACAGGTGTTGAACTCTCAGTGGCCGACATCTCCTGAAATTTACCGTGCTCGGGATATCCATTGTTACCATAATATGCGTTGGTTGGCGGCTGATATGGGTGCTGTCCCTAATACATGCTATTCGGAGACATCTGGGGTGGAGGGGGCGACGGGTATTGAGGGTAGCTTGGCGGAGGCGCAGCAGGTTGAGGAACTGGAGATACTTGGCGCTTCCTCTGTCGTCGCTTCATGAGCCAAAATATGAGTCCCGCAATGAGCGCCAGAGCAATCGCTCCGCCGATGGCTGGCCCGGCTATCCAGGCAGCGCTCTTGGTGGATGAAGAGTTCGAATTGTCGGCGCTGGGGTCAGCCGTGGGGTTGATGACTCCCGAAATTGATGTGGTCTTGGAAATGCCAGAGGTGTTGGCAAGGTTGGTTTGAGAATCTGAAGTGGTCGCAACATTTCTTGACACTGCCCCAGAGATTGATGTTGATAGAGTCGATTTACTCGACGAAGATGTAGAAGATGAAGACGTCGAACTTCTTGAGGAGGAAAATGTCGATGAGCTTGTCAAGGATGAAGACGCCCTTGATGAAGCCGAGACTGAAGACACGGAAGAAGTTGGACGAACGGCAGTGCCTGTTGTCTGCATGTACAGATCGACAGAACTAGATGCAGGAACGCCACACCCATACATGCTATACCCAGCCTTGTCATCCAGATCTCTGTGCAGAACTCTGGTGTTACATTGATTTCCGACAGTACTGGAGCAGGTTAGCTCATATGTTCAAATCGGAAGAGGGTAATGACCTACCAAGAAGCGGACTGAGAAGGGTAAACAACAAGTGAACCACTTTTGCATCCGGTAGCAACCGAGGCGGTTACCTGTGCAGTTGATTTGCATGCTCCATAGGCGCCGGAGAGAGTGACTGTCTGCCCTGCTGCGCAATATCTTGCATCCCCTATATTTCTTCATGTGTGAGCGTTGATCATGTTGTTCCAAATGTGAAGTAGGGAACAGAGATAGGTCCATGAAACTTACAGGTTTCGCTCTCAGATATATAACCCCAGAAACTCACATCTTGAGTTCCGTCTCTCAGGTATACAACCCCCACGTCAGGAGGTGAGGTAATAACTGGCCCAGCAGGGTCTACATAGCCGGAAGCCGTTGAAGCCGTTGCCAAGAGGAGAACTGAGAGTTGGCAGAGCCTTGCCGTGCCGGGTAATCTTGAGTCTGAATACATGATAGCTCTACGCAGGGTTCAAGGGCTTGAAATGACGTGAAGGGACGGAGGCTGGCTGACAAGGTAGCGCACACTCCTCTATTATTTAATCCTATGCATTTTTCATCGCTCAGCTAGTGTCTTATTGGTTAAATGATTGAGAGGTTTGTTGACCATCGAATTTTTCCCTTTGAGGGCTCCCTGTGTTAGATCTAGAACCTGAGGCTGAAGAATGCAAACCGCCTAGTTAGTTGACCAAACTAGCTCGGGTAAAAAGGTAACGAAACCAGGGCAATATCATCATATCTGGCCAATTATTTGGCGTTCATTAGCCCTTATTTGATGCTAACTGTTACTGAATGAACGTGGCTTGGAGCGGCAGTGCCGCCATTTGAGCAATCGCTCATAGACTAACCCAATCTCTCCTGCTTTTTCATAGACTCTCCACATCTAGGCTGAATCGCGAAGAAACTATTGCCCAGGGCTAAAGTGCCGGAAGCTTCCGATTTGCCTAGCCTTGCCAGGGAAAGTCTCATTGATCCAATTTTAGAATTGTGGTTCATTCGTGATGATTGACATATATATTCGATATGATTGAAATGGCGATTTGGTGATTGACTTTCGATCTGTTCTTGGGCTCCGGCAGTTTCGAATTATCGTCTCTCTGTGATGGCTCTTTGACTCGATTTTTTGCTTGTAGTGTTCATCAAGATCTGGGCACGGATGAACCAAAATTTATATATAAAGCGATTTGCCTGGGGTTCTTCGGCTATAAGTCTCATGACAGGCCCGTAGCAAATGGTTTCGTTCTCGATATGGCACACTGGTTGTTTCATGAATAGCATATAGCACCGGTAATTAGCTGAAGACTCCTAGTTCTTTATGAAATCCACCGATACAGTATCTCAGCCTAACGTTGAGTATATGGCTTCTAAATGTGAGCATATGCTTGCTGGTGCACGAGAAAACTTTGGCTGAAATGCAATGGAGTTTAGTTACGCGTAATCCCCAACTCTTATTCGAGCCACGGCAATAAGATCTATTTCTTCCCATGAGCGTGAGGCTTAATTAACACCACTGGTTTCATCTAGATTAGGTAGGTGATCATAGCGCTTGAAATAGCCGCTTATCCTCCCTCCCTGCTCGACATCTCAATTCTCGTTCTTTCAACCTCCACCAAGATGATTATCGTGTAATCGTATTTGGCGTATATGGGCATTCAATCATGGACCGACTCTATAATAAATTCGCCAAATCGCTGTACAGAACGCATCAGAAGAAAGAACCTGTCATCATCAGCATCCAGACAAGACAGCTCATTGCCGCGGATCCCACGAGACCATCCATTGCCCAACTGCCAGATCCTATTCTACGAAACATTCTTTTGTGTGTCAAAGAAGCGCGCCCCGAGATACTCCCAGTCATCGCATCGTTGAGCTCTTCATTATACGAGCAAGCACGCTATGTACAGCACCACGAGGTGCATATTGATATCAACAACAGCAAACATGTGCTCGATCGGCTCCATCTTATTCAACGCCTGGATCAACTGGTAGCCATTCGGGTGCTGCGAGTGGACGGTGAACGCCATCCAAACGATGATGACACCATGAGGGAGATTCTGGACCATCTCGCGTCCCTCGTGCCAGCTATGACTGGATTGCGCGACGTCCATTGGCACGCGCATCAATCGCGACCCTTGTTGCCAACCTTCTCCGTAAAGAGTCTGGATCTGCATGCCCCAATACCAATCCCGTCCTCGATACTTGTTGCGCTGACGGCTGAGTGCCGCGTTCATACGTCCCTCAACTGTCACGCAATCAACGAGGCCCATGCACAGACCCGGACATTCTTGCAGGGCTTGGAAGGGAATCAAAATCTCCAAACCCTCTCCATACGGGTGCTCTACACCGAGGAACCAATGGGTGCTGAAACGATGCGCGGCTTAACAAAAGTCCTTCTCTCATGCCCCAACCTCACAAGGATTCCCAAAATCCACGTGTGGTTTCCCCAGGGTGGATGCTACGCCTACGGCCCAACATTTGAAGAAGGGCCTTACACGGGAATCTATTTCCCAGACGGCGAGATGCTTAACCCGCTTGAAGAGCTAGGTATGGATTTGTATCCTTGGGGGAGAGAGGGAGCTCGATGGCATCGGGGATATCGTCTCAAGGGACTCGAGCAAGACTACTGGGTCAAAAACTTTAATTGGTCTCATCTGAGACGCCTGAACGGATACCTTGAGCCTGAATTATCTCGGGCATTCCCGATGTTGACCAACCTCCGAGAAATAGATCTGACATATGGTTGGAACTATAAGCTCGCCCGGGAGTTTCTACGCGCCATCACATCACCGCTGGAACAAATGATTCTTCCATGTTGGGAAAGCATAGGTTCCAGACCAGAACTAATCAGCCAATTTGGCGGAACGCTCAGGGAACTGAAGATTGGTGGCGGGGGAGCGTCGGCCCTGATGGCCCTTGATCTCGCCCAGCTTTCCAAGGACCTGCCCCATCTTGAACATTTAGCAATCCACATCGAATGGAATCGAGAGGAGGAGGACTGGCCATTCGCCAACTTGAAAGCCATTGCTGCGCTTCCTCGCCTTCGCAGTGCTGAGTTGTGGTTTCGACTAATCTGTGGCCGTCCCCCGTATCTCACATATTCGGTAGCGCAACGATTATTATGCTATATGAACGATCACAATGGCGGATTTCAGCGTCTGACTCTCCACTCGGGTGTGCCAACACCAAACAGGGTTGATCCTTTCTCCCCAAATGTCGACGTAACGCCCTCCTGGTCCATGCGTAACTCGGTCACCTTCGAATGCGAAATGGCCTACGATCATGACCCTTACAAGGAAGACGGACAAAGGTGCAAAGCCCGCATCTGGTGCAAGGAACTGAGTGTTGAGATGAACGCAAAACTCCGCCAACTCGACCAAAAAGCAAACAGAAAGCAGCCGAACGTCAAAACTCTTGACCCAGCTGGGGTCCTTCTCCGAGCGGCATTGGACGGCCCCCTTGATTCAGCAGAATGGCGGGCTTGGCGGGAGGAGCAGCTGAGGTTGTACGGGCCACTGCCCGGCAGCGTGGATGAGTTTGCCCAGGAAATCGAAGCTTACTGGGCGCGGTTGAATGCGCCCTTTTCTCTTAAATTGCTCTTCAAGGAGCTGTGTGAATATGTGAGGGAAGAATACGACGGCGCGTTTGGCAAGAATCGACGGAAAATGCGGACATAGACATAACACCAAGAGCTTGGCAAAGGGAAATGCTAGAGAAGACTTTAGAATTGACAACCAGCTAGATCCTAGCTACCTCCTGTTCCCTCAAGTGAATGATGCCCCCAATGTCAAGACCGTACCATGCTGGCAGAAAGTCGCACGTTTGTTGTCCACATACAGATCGAACCGAACTTTCCCACTTCTGTCCATAGTAACCTCGTGGATTCTGTATGCAACCCCGACTCTTCTATGAAAAATCCGTCCTTCATGTACTGGCCATTCAGTGTGATCAATTTGAGTGCCTCTGTCATACCAATCTCTGTCCCTTTCGATCCGATATCGTAGACCTTTAGCATACTTAATGCCGGTGACCATGTATAGTGGAAATACCTTTCTCCAGGCCGAGTAGTTGAGACCATCAAAAAACCTCGCAGTTTGGGGATGCTTCAGCAATTCTCGTGCGAAAGGCTTTGCGTCTTCGCTGCTTATCCAACTATCCGGCATGATGACCTCCTCTGCGCGCATTGAAGACGTCTCAAAGTACCCATTAAGTTTTGTTATGGCGTAAGAGGTTGGTTTATTCGAAGCTGGTTGTTTGTCGTTCACTGATAAGGGAATCCTGCCACGGAAAGGGCCCCTTTTAAGAAGTGAATCGGGGGACCAAGCCCAAACATCACCAGGTACCACTACCGAGCCTTTTGGATATTTCGGATCATCGACAATAGCACTAATCGCAAAATTGTAATGTGTGAGCCACTCTTGAGCCTCTTCAGAGAAGTTTTGGGCAATGATATAATGTGGATTTCCAATGCCCAGATATTCTTCATCCACAAGTTCCCCATCCATAATGACTTCTAAATTAGTCGCTTGGCTAATATGCTTGTGAAGGAGAGTCTGAAAATGTGAGGAATCAGAGGCATGGAAGTAATTATGTTTCTGCGATTTTAAAGAGACTACCATGATTTCAAGGAAGCTTCGTTCTTAAGTATTTGTCTATCTTCATGGTTGTCAATGTGATGGGGCGGAGTAGGAGTGAATTCTTAATTCAGGTTGCTTTGACTCAAGATTACAACTGATTGTACAAAGACAGGCCATCAGGGAACTTAAATCTGACCAGGGAGACCGACCAAAAGTGCGTTGGAGGTTTCGTGTGTTGAATCATCAAATAAGCTGAAACCTAAAGAAATGAAATGCCTGGTCGCTGAACAAGCAACTCGTTTGCACACATTCCAAGGTCAAGTTGAGAACAAGATGGTTAAATCTATGTAGACTTACATGTCAAGGCCAAGAAAGAAATGCTTATGCTGAGCAGAGGGGGGACAAAGACGAATAGATGTTGGAGAACTAGAATCAGTTGCTTATCAACAAGGCTTGGTGGGTAGCCAAGGCACATACATGTGACACGAGGCTTTGTCCTTGACGACAAGATCTCTTGACTACCTAGTAAACCCTAGGGAGAGTAAGCCCCCGGCCAGACAATGCAAGCTATGCCCATGCATTGCAAATTCATCTGTTACAAGACTGGGATTCAGAGATTTCTCCATGATTGAAGCTGCATGCTACGCGACCAATCCTAGACTTTCACTTCTTAGCGCAGTCTTGCTTGCCTAGGCCGCTCGTTTCGGATGATTTCATCAAGTGTCTCGGCTGTGGTACACAATAGTTAGCACCGGCGGGTTTGTGTCAAAAACATGGTACCAAGAAACCTACACACCAGCTTAGAAAGCACTTTCGTCAATTAGTATTTGTTCACCCTCTCAAGACGAAGAATGGCACATGCACTCATTCTTTCAGTGCTGTGAAAGTTATTCACAAGCTTGCACATGCACAACGCGCGTTGGAAGACCGATCCTCAGCAGTCGAAACCCCACGATTCTGACCGCTTCCTATCCGTATGATTGCATTTCGTCCAACATTAAGCGAGTCATGCTGCAGGTCTTGTCTCACGGAAAGTCCCATCATTGGGCGTTCTGACAAAAATCTCAGTCTCCCATATGAGTGCTCCAATTACATCGTGACGCGCTGCCATGGTCTCAGACATTGTGTGTAAGTCACGCCATATTCTCACAGCCAAGCATGATGATTCCTGTACTGTAGCCTTCGTCTTGTGATCAGTAGCGCCAGATCACACATTATATAAGGCGCCACTTTCTCGGGATATGTTGCAGTTCTCAGCAACACTACTCTCTACGCAAAGAACTACTTTACAGATTCACTCAGAAACGACTTTACAATGAGAATCACAGCTACAGTTCTCTGCTTCCTGCTCGGCACTGCTGCTGCATTGCCTGACCCTGACTCCCGGAGGATAAGGCATGTGTTTACGAGCATCCAGCATAATTAACCAAACTGGTAAACTCACGGCCTCACTCAGACTAACATGATCTCTGACATAGTTGTGCCGGCGCCTTGGATAACCTGTATGGGCGTATCTCAGACCAGAAAAGATGGTGCCAGAATCCCAAGGACAAGTTGTGTCCCGTTGGCAAAGCCAATTGTAGAGTAAGTCATCGTTGTCATCCACCCACAAAATCAGTCACTGACTAGTATGTTGTACAGGCTGCCGTAAGTAACCTCCGGGGCGACCAACAGTCTTTATACTGATGAGCTATGAATCTACAGAAGATTCAGTGTGTCGATACTTGCGTGAGTGCCACATGCCTTCCATTTTACAATTTGTACTAATCGTATATTTCCAATAGAAAGTCGAGGGTAGAACATGTTCTCCAACATGCCCGCCTTAGGTTGAGTAGGCATCAAAGTCGCTTGCCGGTTCGGAGTTCATGACTTGCTTGCAAGTTGCAGACACTCTAACCACCCTCAGGTGCTGGCATTAATCGCCTAAGGATGAGACAAATCGATACTTTGTTGCAATGTCTTTGATAGTGGTAGCTGCTTGCTAGTTCCCAATTCACTTCGCTGTTCAGGCCATGTTCGGGTATATGCCAGTTTCAGTTGCTATGGTTTCAGGTGGTAAGATGAACAATCCTGCCAAGCTTGCGTAGTAAAGGTTTTACCATCAGCGGGATTATGTTGCTTTGTTTGCAAATGAAAGTGCTTAATGTAGATGATTGCAACCAACGCACATAATGTGTTAGAGTCGCCACTTTTCACACACCAGAGGCCCCCCTGCCCCCTTCATCCTGTTACAGTGGAGATCGCTGTATGAAGAGCCAAAAATAGCAAAATATAAAGGCACGAAAGAGGCTCAGCAGAAGCCTAACTGGAGCCTGGGCTACCTGCTGTCTACCTGAAGCCAGTGGCCAATGAGCTGGCAACCAAACGCAAGGCATCAAGGACTGACTAATCGCACAGCCATGATCCTCTGCCAAAGCGTAGTTCAATCATCTGCCTGCGCCCGGAACCAGAAATCCCGCTTTTAGACCGTCCTGAATCGAATCCGAGCGGCATCATCCAGCGAAAGACGCTGAACCCGTCCATGATCATCTTGAGGCATAAATGAACCTCAACCCGCTCGAGTCTCTGGAGCTCTTCATTTTTGAGTAGCTTTCAGCCAGACCTCCAGCTGCACATTACACCAGTTCGACCAAACGATGATAACTCAACATCAAGAGACGCTCAACGACAATGACTCCGATGCAGTCATTATCGGCCATGAGGACATCAGGAATTACAACCCGGAACAAATTCTTCCAGAATCCCCCGAGACCCTCCAAAAGATTCGCGACTGGCTCAAGCCTACCGCGTACGATGCTCCTGGTGGGGAGTATGAGAAGCACCTAAAATCCCATGCTCAAGGCACAGGGACCTGGCTCACTTCAAATGAAACTTATTCAAAGTGGCTCGGAGGCTCAGAGGAGGGCTTGCTTTGGATTCAAGGCATTCCCGGATCGGGTAAATCAGTGATCGCAGCGAACTTGATTCACACCCTATCAACCTCTCATCCGGGAGCCCCTGTGTTATTCTTCTTCTTCCGGCAGATCATCAATGCCAATCACAAGCCTCAAGCCCTGTTGCGAGACTGGCTAGACCAACTCTTGACCTATAGTCCTCCTTTGCAAAAGGAATTAAAAGGCTATATAGATGCAGGGCGATCAATTGAAAGTCTATCAACGGAGAGCCTTTGGAAAGACTTACGGAAGGCATTGAGTTCTCTTCCTGGCAGAGTCTTCTGCGTTGCAGATGCTCTTGACGAGATGGACGGTGGGAATGAGTCTTTTCTGCAAGACCTCGCGTCACTCGGATCATTCCGACCAGAAAAGGTCAAAGTACTGGTCACCAGCCGGCCTGTCCCCAATGTTGGGATACCACTCCGAAAAGTCACTCTGTTACAAATTCGATTAGAAGAAAAACTAGTCGACGTGGATATTTCAATCTTTGTCCAATCGGCACTTTCTGGCTCTAATTTACCACGAAGCGATCAGGAGCTGATAAGAAATGCAGTGCCAGGGCGGGCCAACGGGCTTTTTCTCTATGCCAAGCTGGCAATGGACGCGTTCCTTGAACCTGACGCTGGGATTCAGCAAGTCATTCAAGAACTTCCAACTGATATGAATGTGTTGTACACCGACCTTTTGACGCAGCATGCACAAAGATCAGGGGTACCCTCTGGTGCTCAGCATCTCATCCTCCAAGCCGTTACCCATGCCACACGACCTCTTCGCCTGCTTGAACTTGCCGAGATGATTCGATTTAGTGATCCGGATAACTCTTCCAGAGATCTCAAAGCAACAAAGGAGTTGATAAGAACTGCTTGCGGCCCCCTTTTAGAGATCCTCACCGACGAGACGATATCGGTCATTCACCACTCATTCACTGAGTACCTGAAAGGGACAACAAGATCCAGCAAGGAGTCTGGATATCCCATTCTACACCCTGGCCCCACGCATGCGAATCTTGCTTTTGAATGTCTTCGCTACCTCGAATCCGAGGATGGGGGCAACTACTGGATCAACTGTATCGGCGGCATGCCTCAGCCCAAGGTTTCATTATTTGGACTTAGTAGCGTGGCTGACGCATCGGAAAAAGAAGCCCGACTGAGACTTCAACACCCATTTCTTGACTACGCTGCGAGAAACTGGCATCGACATGTTCGAAAGTCAGAGAATGCAGGGTTTGATCAAGATGAAATCAATATTCAAATTCAAAGATTACTTGGGCGGGAGATGTCCAGGGTGTCACCGATTCATATCGCGGCAAAGTTGGGACTGGCATCCTATGCCCGAGACGTCGTTCTGTCAGAGGATATTGACCCCAATATCCCTGACTGGGATGGACTCACTCCAATGTATGTAACCAGCTATGTCTTGCTTTTTTATCATTGCCCCTTCCGATCTTACATCTCTTGCTCTGAGTTTCGGCAATATCCATATTCTAACATTCACGCTCCTCTCAGGTGGCTAGCAGCGAGTAAGGGGCATCCAGAAATGATCCGCGTGCTGGTTGCCGCTGGTGCAAATCCAGACCAGGAGATCGCTTCCTCCGGGTTGAAACCTCTGCACGAGGCGGCAACTCATAATCATCATTTGGTTGTGCAGGCCCTACTGGAAGCTGGAGCCGACCCCCTGACCCCAAAAACCAAAGATGACTCTATATTCTCTTGTGGGAGCAGGACAAGCACAAGAGGCCACACGCCGCTAATGTACGCATGCCACAGCGGCCACGTAAAAAGTGTCGAGGTATTCTTATCCTTTTTAAAAGATATCAACACGGTTCATCAGGTGTTGATGTGGGCTTCCGAGATGGGCAAGTCAGAGGTTGTTGCGAGGATTCTACAGTATCCTGGTGTCGATCCGAACACGAAAGTTCAGGGTGATACGCCGCTATTCCGAGCCTGTGCCTATCCTGACCTTGGAACAGTACAAGTGTTACTGAATGCTGGTGCAGATCCAACAATCGGTAGTGAAAGCCGCCGGGATGGATTCGGTTGGTCTGATTTCAACGATTCCCAGAAGCAACCCCAGACCTACAATTGCCTCCATCGACTATGCGGTTTAGGGGCAAATGTTCCCTCCAATACTAGAAAACCTCTGGAAAGTGACCTCTGTGAGATTTTGCGATTGCTTGTTGCAAATGGAGTTGATGTGCACGAACGCACTCCACGAGGGCAAACTGCATTACATGGCGCGGTACGCTCAGTCGGCATGACCCGTGCTCTCATAGAAGCTGGAGCAGATGTCAACGCGGTTGATTCATTGGGAAACACCCCTCTTTACAACGTTAAATCGTCCGAGGTCTTGCAGATACTGGTTGAGCATGGCCACGCCAACATCGAGACTATCAATGCTAGAGGACAAACTCCCCTTCATTTCATGCTATCTTTCTTTGCAAATGAACCGTCCGGTATAGAATCTATCGTCAAGTTTATTGCATACGGCCCCGATTGCAACATCCCTGATGGTGACGGGAATAGACCACTTCACATTGCGCTACAGCCCGCCTATCCCAAGGCACCGCTCATCGAAGCCCTACTTCATGGAGGGGCTGATCCATGTCTAAAGAATGCCCGCGGAGAATTCCCCTTACTCTCAATGCGTCTGTCTCCGGAATCAATGCCAGCCATCAACATGCTTCTAGATGCGGGTGCCGACATTAACGCGGCCAACAGCAATGGGGAGACTTTGCTCTTCGGGGGCCTTGCAAATTTCTCCTTTGAGAAAGAAGACGAGGGCCGTTGTGTTAAAGCCTTGGTAGAGAGAGGTGCCGATATTGCAGTTCGTGACCTCGCAGGTCGCACTATTCTACATGCAACTGTTGGAACCCACGCTTTTTCCGCTTTTTCGCAGGACGATACAAAATCTACTTATGGCTGCAGGAAATTGGACGTCTTGGTCAGCCTTGGCCTCGATCCCCAGGCTGTCGACTCGGCGGGAGACACCCTCCTTCATGAGCTGGCGGAACGAGCGCGAGCCACATCAAATCTAGATCATGGCTACTCGATGGTGGACTGCTGGAGGAAGCTGGTGGCAAATGGCTTGGATGTAGACCAGAAAAATCACGCTGGCCGTACTGCACTGCACATTCTGTCTGCCACAGACGCCAGCTGGCTAACCACCGAACCTGGGCGGCCAGCACCAATTGACTTTGTGATTTCCAAAACTTCGAACATTGACAGTCCCGATGAGGATGGAATCACGCCGCTTCATCTGGCTGCAGCCGGTAGTGTTTCAAATACAGCAAAGCTGCTTGAAGCCGGTGCAGATCCTACACTAGCTACGCACGAAGGCTTGACGGCTCTTCACTTGGCATGCCGTGCCAGGCAAGGCAACACAGTAGGGCTTCTCATCCGTTCTCTTCGATCAAGACTGGAGCAGAGTGCCCTAGATCTTTCATCCTCGTCTGCCGTCAGTTTGAATGCTAAAGCCAAGGGAGAGTTCGATTATATAACTCCTCTCTTCTACGCCTGCCGATCGGGGCAACCTGAAACTGTAGCCCTCCTCATTGAAGCTGGTGCTGATATTAACGAGCATGCGTTGAAAGGGTGTGCCGGCTTCGAAGATGAGAATTCGCTTTGGAAAAGACACAATGGTCCACCGAAAGGTCCTTCCTTGTTTGGATCATCGCCATTTGCGGTAAGAGAAACTCAAACGCCGACGAGTATTTTCAGCAATGTGTCCAGAGCTCCCACAAGTCCCGCTAAGGTAGCATACACCAACCCGGTCAAGTTGGAAGATACCGCGCGTCCGGCAGACGGGCCTTCCAGTTTGATGTCAGATATGGGGACAGCAGTAACAGCCAGGTTCGAGGAGATCTTGGATATGCTTCTCAGCAAATCTGCAGCCCTGCTGCCGTTGCTCCAAGGTTTCATCGATGAGGCCGTGAGAGACCAGAAAGCCTACACTGCCAGATGCTTTTTAGACGCCCTCAAGAGATACAGGTATGGATCAAAGCTGGAGGACGTCGTGGAGACTACCAACTCTGAAGATAGCGATATCTATAAAGCAGAAACAAGACTGTTAGAAGACGTAAAACCTGGTGAAAGCAACCAGGAGCTCTTCAAAGAGTTGCTACATCAGAGACAATATCAAGCCGTAAATGAAATAGCCAGGAGGAAGGCTGATTTTCTTACTATCCCTGAAGGGGCGGTTGACTGCAATTTTTCTGTCCTGGTTAAGAATGGATTTTCTTCACTTGTCAAAACAGTTGGTGATATTGAAACCACATCAAGATTGGTTGGCGGCCAGTGGCATGCCTTTGGAGACAAGACACGTCCCGGTCTTTGGTCTGAGGGGAACAATGAGATCACAACGGCAGGGCCAGCACTTCTAGTTCAGGCGGTGTCACGACAACTGCCCAATATGGCCGTTGTTCACCTTTTGGTTGAGGACTTCCAAGTCGACATCAATGAGTTCGAATATCAACGCCAGCGAGTCAACAATGAGTCCATCGTGGTTCCAACCAGTTCAGCACTCCATCAGGTCGCGCATGGCCACACCTGGTGGCAAACTTTTCAAGCGCTTCCCTACTTACTCAAGGCTGGTGCAAATATAGAAATCCGAAATTTTAAAGGCGAGACCCCTTTACTACTGGCCCTTGAGGAATTATCGACTCGCCCTGGCCTCTTTCAGAAAGATGTCGTCAGAACTTTGCTCGAATGGGGTGCGGATGTCCATGCAATTGATAATGTTGGCAACAGCTGCCTTTCCTACGCAAACAAGGACATCAGCCTTCTAAAGGCCCTCATGAAGCGGGGGGCGACACCGTCTACTAGAGCCGTCTTCGCGGCAATAGAACAGCTCAAGGTTGATGCTCTCGAGGCGTTCCTGAAGGCCGGTTTTGATCCTAACACAAAACGAGTAGACCAGCCCCCGCAGGTCTTGGGATCAGGTTTATTTGGGAAACGGACCGAGCCACAGGGATCAACGGAGGATCTGCCGATATACTATGCTTGTTTAAAGCTGAAGGACTTTTCGGGACCACCGGATTCTGACAAGCATAAAAGGATGATGGAGATTGTGCAGATGTTATTGAAGTATGGAGCTGATCCATTCGCAAAATTCCTCGTCAAAGCCACGGCCCCGTATTCCAACCATGGTAATGAGAACAAGACGAATCCCTTCCATAAGGGTATAACCTCACCAAGTGTCCCTGAAGGATATGAAGAACGCACGGTATTGCACGAGCTGATGCGACGCGGCGAACCACCAAACATCCTGCTTGGCATTGAAGGATTAGAGATCAATCGCCAAGATGCCCAAGGCCGGACGCTTCTCCATGTGGCCTGCCAGAACAACCCCGACCAAATCACCACCGCTGATGAGGAAGGTGGCCATCAACTGACTCGCTTTCAGAAACTTGTTTCTCTCGGAGCTTCGCTCGAGGCTCGGGACAACTTTGGTCGAAACATCTTGCATTATCTGATCGATCGCGATGTCTACATAGAAACACCCAAGCTTACACTTGGTCATATCCTAGACCAAGCTCCACATCTAGTCTTGCAATCAGACAACGCAGGAAACACACCTCTTCACAACGCAGTGCACCTCGCTGCTTTCAGACGGCACACTGATACAGCAGAGACGCTCCTCTCCGCCGGAGCTGACGCGCTCGCCGTCACAAAGAGCGGAGACAACATGCTGCATCTCCTCGCGACAAACCTCGACACTCCCGAACTACGAAATCTCTTCCACGATTTATCGAGGCGCGGCGTTGACATCAACGCACGCAACTCGTACGGAGAGACCCCATTGTTCGCCTTCAGCAAGCGCATCAAAAAGATGCCAGGAGGCTTGTTCGGCGGTGGCTCTGGCGGCTTGTTCGCCCCCCAACGCGAGTATTCAGAGGATGGCGCTCTGCAATTATTTCAAAACCTTGGCGCGGACTTCTCTGTTAAGAACGGTAAAGGTCGGGGCCTGTTGCATGTTGCGGCGCCTGGGGACGTTGGGCGGTTCAAGGAGTTGCTGAGCGTGGGGCTAGATCCGATGCTTGAGCATGATGCCCATCAGACGGCCATTGACGTCGCGGCAGCTTGTGGGAACCAGGACGTTTTGGCTTTGTTTGAGAAGAAGAACTAAAGGATGTTGAAGTTTGGACACTTTTGACTTTGCTTATCGCTACCAATATCTTTGATCAGTCTTCATGAATTCTATATAGTTGGAAATTGAAATCCTTTGTGTAAAAGCATCTAATATCTACACCCACCAAGTCTATTGCGCAAACCGACGGAATAAGTCGTGTAATATACAGTCTATGAGTCGCAGCACGACGTGACAATGTCGATCGCTTCATCGCATGCCTCGCGATAGTCAAATACCTGCGCATGGTCAAGCTCCTGGAACACCTTCACGAGAACTTTCCCATCGCCATTCAGATCTAATGCATCCTGCCCCCTCACTTCAAGATACTTGGCCACACTGGGAACATCAACAATGATATCCTGTCCCGAGAGTATGACGGCCACCCGTCTATTTCCGATCCTGCTTCCGTCCGGTCCTCGCCTTTGGACCAAGTCATCCTTCCAAATAATATTGTCCCGCCAGAACAAGTGCCGGCCGAGACAGTGAGCGACGCCTGGGTCTGTGCTCGCAAAGTACCACAGTTGCCACTCATTCGCACGACTAGGGAGGCGGCGAGTGAAATTGTAAGCCACGGGGGGCAGGTGAAGCATGATGGTTACCGGGTCGATCATTGCTATGGCGCTGACCCTGGATCGCATGCTCGGCGAGTGGAGTATGTGGGCAGCCTGGACCGAGCCGTAGGAATGGGTTGCGATGGCAAACGTCTCCCAGTTGTGGTGATCGAGTACGAGATTGACTTGGCGCAGAAACTCTACCCTGTCGAGAGGGGAAGAGGTCAGGCGGAATGAGATAGGTAGAGTTTCGATGGCAATGATACCTGCCCGGTTGCTCTTCTTTAGGCCAGCCAAGAACCGGATATACGTCAGGAGGCCTACACCGATACCGTGGAAGAATATAATCGGCACATTGGTGTCATCGGCATCCTTTTGCGGAGAGTACCAGTAGCTGAGCCCGGGAGCCTCCGACTGGTGAGCTGTGAGAAATCTCTGTGGCCTCGGAGGAAAGACGTCGCGGTTTGATTCGGCAGTATAGTACTGGAAGCCATGAAACCAAAGCGCGAGGTGGGTAAATTGGTCCACGAAGAAAATGACGATGTACCAAGCCAGACTCCGGTAAGTTGTGTGGATGCCGTCAATGTTGAGGCGAAGACTCTTGACCGGGGCACGGCCAGGCTCAATGATCTTCCCCAGCCGCTCCTCAATCAGATGGATGAAGTACTCCATGTCCTGCTCCTCGGATGCGCTCCAGTCGCCGAAGTCCGTCTCCTCGCGATCAAAAAAGGCCCACATTATGAACTCTCTCAGGTTTTCTCGCCGGATGTCCTGCAGGTCTGCGCCGAGGAACCAACCTTGGAGGTACCGTTCAGGCGACTGCATGTTATCTATGCATTTCTCAAACAGCGCCCTCCGCTCGGGCGAGGTTAACGGAGGGGGATACACGGCTTTGAGGCGCAGGCGAGCCTGGGCTGGCCGCCAAGCCAGAAGGTAGAAGAGGCCCTCTGCAGCCAGGGAGAGGGCCAATATGACCGTGGCAAAGATCTTCCATGATGCGTTGATGCCGGAAAGATAAAGCAGGAGGAGAGCGAAGGCACATAACGCGGGTGTGTAGCGGAAAACGACGACGGAGACGCGGATGAAGTACAGCTCCGCTCGGCTGGTGCCTATCATCGTACTAGTCGCGCCTTACACGACGCCAAAATCTGAGCGAGTGTCGATGGTGGCCAGACCTTTTCAATGTCTGTGGTTGAAGTTGTGATGCAGGACGCAAAAAGAGCCACAATGGGCAAGGGCGCCTCGCAGATGATAAATGGCGCTGTTTGCTAGTGGCTGAGCCGCCAAACGAACTTTGGTCTGCTGCGCTTGATCCTCTGGAGGATTGTGGTATTCTTATTTTTAGCACCTCGACAAAAGATAGCGGGTTGAGCCTTATAGGAGAGAAGCGCATAAGAAAATGATGAAACAGAAGCAGTAAGCCTGACACGTGTAAACCCCCAATCTCAAATCTCGTCACGTCCGCATGATCTACTGCGTCAGTCGCTACGTAGTAACTTAGCGTGTTGCAGGTGTCTGGTGGGAAGGGCATATGACATCCATGGAACACCCCATATTGCTGTGATCAAGAGAATAACAGATAGGCAAAACGGCATCAACACAAATCGCAAAGTATTAATATCAATTTAACATTTACTCACTATTGTTATTATACTCTTTAGCGACACCCAGTCCATGTTGTGCATCACAGTTGCTAGTTTTATGATGTCGCCCACTTGTTTGGGTACCGTACACGCATGTCTTCTGAGTCAGCACCGACAGTACAGACTGCCAAAATGCCATTGACAGTGCCGTGCCCGATTATTTCTGTTTGTACGCGATAAAAACTACCTGTGAGAGCACCAGCAGCTCGAAGGGTTAGTCTTGCTTTTAGTAGTGCCTATATCTGTACTCCGTCCAGCAGCCGCTTCTACATCCGAGCCCCATCGGATGTAAAAGCAGTTTAATTATATAAACCAAGCCGAACGGGACCATATCCATCATCATGACAAAAGAGATCGACGGTTGTTCGGCTTTAACTCACTATCGTTTCCTTTATTTCAAGAGTGCATAGTTCACCGGTGGAAACTATATAAACCTTCTACCTCGCTCACCATTTGACAATTTTGCCAATACATCAATCAAAATGGCACTTCCAGAATCAGTTCTCTTTCATCCGGAGGCGGAGACTACCATTCACGCCCTGGTCTCCGGCCCGCCCACATCTGCAGGGCAACCAAACCGAACAACAGTCATATTCCTCCACTACTGGGGTGGTTCCTCGGAGACATGGTCGCAGGTCAATTCTCAGATATCGCAGCAGCACCGCACTGTCGCGATTGATTTCCGTGGTTGGGGTAAATCAATTGGGCCACCTCATCCAGACGCCTATTCAATGCCACGGCTCGCGTCAGATGTAAAATACGTCATTGCTTCCCTAAAATTGCAGCAATACATACTTGTTGGCCTGTCGATGGGGGCGAAAGTAGCACAGCTGTTGGCAGGACAAGGCGAACTTCCAGGCTTGAAGGGCATCGTTCTTGTTAGCCCGGCGCCTCCGACGCCCTTGAACCTCCCACCAGAGATGCGCGATCAGCAGGTGCACGCCTACGACGACGCAGGATCGGCAAACTTCGTGGCCCTCAATGTTCTCACTGCGTCATCGCCGTCCGGGACTGCCCTTGAATCTCTTGTCTTGGACATGCTGCGAGGGAATGAGTGGGCAAAAAAAGCATGGCCAACTTATGGAATGGGAGAGGACATCACTACGGCTACGACCAGCATTCGGTGCCCAGTCTTGGTCGTGGCAGCTGGCAAAGATATTGTAGAGCCACTGGAGAGGGTAAAGAACGAAGTCTGCCAGAACATTCAAGGGGCAAGGTTGGAGGTGCTGGAGGGTTCCGGCCATCTGTCTCCAATTGATTGTCCTTCCGAGTTATCGGAACACATCTGCCAATTCATTCACCAAGTCTATGGCATTTGATCTGGCGCGTGACCCGCGCTGGGCAGTTCGGGCGCTGCAGCGAAAGAATTACCTGCTTCCTTGTCTAGAAGATTCCCAACAGTGCAAGACTTTTTGGGGTATCACTCGGGGCTCTTTTTTTACGGTTGCGTGAGGCTTTGGGAACCAGATCGTCATTAGGGAGAAAATCAAACACGCCTACACTACAGCATGAAGGCGCTAGAGTTGTGCTGATGCAACCGATGACTCAGCATTGATCGTACCCTATACTTCGAGCAACGTGAGGGAAGAAAGCCCATTTAGTTCAAGCGATGTGCATACCTTTACTCAGTTTCTTAGTATCAATCAGACTATGAGTAGAACAAACAGCCGTAAGAATTATGGGATGATCTGTGGATTCTAGAGGAGCATGGGCTTCAGTAGCGTTTCAAAAGTAAACCTATAGCTGTAATCAGCTTGCATACTTTTTATATTAGGATATAAAAAGTATATTAAAAAGATATATCTATAATCTATATAGGTTTATCCTGAAGATCCCTATAAGGCCTCTATATATCTTTTTTAGCTAGTATAACTTTATATATATATAACCTATAGCTTTTTAGATTAATCTAATATATAATATATTAACCCTGACTTTTTATAATAGTAATAGGGTTTATATAGATTATTATTACTTTATAATTTATAGCTAAATATAGATAAAGATAATAATTCTAACTCTTCTAATAATATTATTATTATTAGGGAGGCTACTATAACTAAATTAGGCCTAAATAATACTAATATAGCTACTTTATAAGGAGAAATTAACCCTAAACTTAATAACCCTTTAATAAAGGTTTTATAACTAATTAAGTTCTTATTAATAAAGTAATCTATATAGATAAGGTATTTAAATACTAAAAGATAAAGATTAAAGCTAAGAATAATAATTATAATAAATAGAGTAGATTCTAATAATAATTCTAATAATAAGTAGAAGAATTATTTTATCTAGGATTAGTAGTATATTTAAATACTCCTTAAATTAATAGTAAAAGTATAAATAGCTAGAGAGTTTAAAAATCTAAAAAGAATAATTATTAATAGTATATATAAAGCTCTAATAAATAGAATAAAGGTTTATTTTCCCTTAAAGCTATAGGAGTTTACTAAGTTAAAATAGAAGATTAAGAATTTTTAATTTCTTTAGTAGATCTTTATAGGTATTATAAATATAATTAGTATATTATTTTATATTTAAATTAGTATTATTTAAGCTAAAAAAAAGTAGTAGATTATATTTAAATAGAAATATAGAAAAAATAATAGATTTTTAAAATAGAATAATCTATAAGATTAAAAGTTATTTAAATATACTTTTAAGGATATAGAGGAAGTTAGGTTTATTATTATTAAAATAGATAATATTAATACTTTAAACTTATTTCTAATTTATCTAAATTATCTATTAAATACTAAGAATAATAAGGAGGAAGTAGAAAAGGAAAAGAAAGTAGAAA